TTTGACTCCAACAGCATATATTACTTGAAGACAGTTTTAAATGACAAAACTAATGTAAAATGCTGTTTAATACCAATATAAGTGCTCTCCATAAAATGTGTGTTAACATACTAATCTGTTAACAATTTTACCAATAAGAATCATAGCAAGCAATATTTGAAAGATTATAGTTCTATAATACATGTAATAGTATTTCATCAAAACCAGATCTTATGCTTTCTAAATATATAAAACAAATGTCTCATTTCATTCATATCCGTATGTGAAAAATATGACTGTTCCTCTAATTTGATATCTTAATTTTAGGAAACAGATCATGATAATAAAGGTGGTCAGGGTACACTACTAAGATAAGTTTAATTTGAAATAATTCAGTTTTTCTGAAAAATATGAAAGAAGCTCTATAGATATGTAAATTTTTATATATAAATGAAAAACTTTTCCATACCAAATCAAAGCTTATCTCATGTACTAAAAGGATGACTCAAAAAGTTAAATACTTAAACATCCAGTCTCTTAAAAGAAACTGTTATATATGAAATGTACTTCACATTTTAGTGTAGCAGAGATGCTGATTATTTATTCATACTGAGATAAACTCTGTGAATAAAGATATAATCACGACTATTCCATTAAAATGAATGAAAGATGAAAGTTTTATTTTGAAAAAAGGTTCTGGGCCATTTTTGATTGTGTGTCCATATTTTTTTACATAATTATGCAGAGAAAATGTGTCAGTTGGGAGTTTGGTTTGGAAGACCCTTCCTTCCCTCTAAAATCCATTTTAATGGAATAACCCTAAGCACATTGTCCACCTGCATACAGGATCTAAAATCTTATTGTTAGCAAAATAATTCAATTTTACAGTAGAATCAGGAAAACATATGAATCAAATAGAAACATAATAATTCTAGAGTAAAGATGAAACATTGTTAATTCAGTAAATAAATGTTTTGGAAGCTATATTTATAGTTGTCTAGATATACTAATGTCTAACTTTTGTTAAACATGCAAACATTTCATATAAATTGCAAGATTAAAACATTTGAATTTTAATATATACTCAAAATGCTTAATGTTTCAAGAAATTGATAACTAAGATTCCTTCCAAAAGAAACAACATTTAAGATACCTGTGAATGAACTAATTGCTCACATTTATAAAAGTTAATTGTAAATCACATTTAGACATTGAGCAAAACTGACATATTAAAATATGCAACTTGTTTATATTACATTTTGTACTTATACATTTTACTATTAAAGAAATTTCCAAGCTCAAAATTCTGGTATTTCACAATTATTTTGTTTTAACTTTAAAAGCATTGCAATATATTATATGTCATAAAAACAAAGGAAGAAAACAGTATTAATAATATTAACACAACAAAATATTTTTTAATTCTTTTTTGTTCAAATATAGTGTAGCTGCAGAATTATACCTTTCCACAAGAAATATCAAAGTTTTATTAATTCTGGGACGTAACTAACTTAAAAGAAATATCAACTATATGTTTCTTATATAAAATCACTGAACTATTTTACATTGAATTACTTTTTTTTTGTAATTTATTTGCCATGTTTATGCTATAGATCACAATGACCTACTAAATGAGGATGAAAAGTAATGAGGTCAATCATCATAGATGAACTATTTTGGCCAACAAAGGAAGAAAACAATATAAATAATATTAACACAACAAAATATCTTTTTATACTGTTTTGTTCAATTATAGTGTAGCTGCAGAATTATACCTTTCCACAAGACATTTCAAAGTTTTATTAATTTTGGGACGTAATTATCTTTATAGATCAACTATATTGTTCTTATATGAAATCACATAACTTTTTTACTTTGAATAATAATTTTTTTTGTAATTCATTTGCCATGTTTATGCTATAGATCACAATGACCTACTAGATGAGGATGAAAAGTAATGAGGTCATTCATCACAGATGAAACATTTTGGCCAACAAAGAGAACAGAGGACTGTTTTGGACAGAGGATATATAAAGGAAACTACATAAACTTTATGCAGTATTCTTGTAACATGCATTTTTGGTCACATATGCTTTTTTGATAGACATCAAGACTTTTGCATCAACTGTCAAGTTTATAGGGTTTAAAGAGCCTCATTAAGAAATTCAATTACCTATGATATATTCTTAACAATATGTTATCTAAAATTTCTTTATAATTTTTTTTTAAGAGGAAGATACAGTTACCAACTCTTACCAGAAGTTCCAATCTAATGTTAAGTTAAAATTTCATTGGAATTGGTTAAGCAAATTTGAATGATCGCACAAAGTACTGATGGACTTGAAAACTTATTATTAGCTATCTGTTAGATTATCTTAACTCACCAAGTAGTCGTAACTGTCCTGGAGTTAAAGATGAAGCAACTATGTTTAACAATCCAGTTGAGTTAGAATTCACATCTAGTGGACACTATTGTGTGAACATTTTGAAAACAAAGCCTGAATTAAGCTCAAAATAAAACATACTTAATGACATTGATGAAATGATTCCAACAGAGAAACATAAGACATTGGTAAAACTTCACAAATAATTTTGATATGCAACATAATATCATTTAGATCTTTTACGTTCTGTATGTGAAAATTGTGAAATATGTATTGCTAATAAAAGATCAAGTCTTAAACCTGTAGCAGTTGATCAGAATGAGCTGAAACACGTTGTCTGACATCTACATATGATTGATGAATTAACCTGCTTTAGTGCAGGAAGTATTAAGAGGACAAAGAAAGCATTCAAATTGTAAAAAAAATTTTGGAATCCTGGATTTCAATACATGGTTCACCAAAACGTCTTTATAGAATTAACCCTTCATTTGGCCTGAGTGAAATCTATCTGTACAAATAAATTCATCTAGCCTAAGTAAAAATAATGTTTTCATCTATTTCATTTTTTTTTAAATTTTATAACTGACACCAAAAGGTAATTAATTGCCTTATTATTTCCCCAAGAAGAAAATAAAAAACTTTGATTATGTGTTATGTAATAGACATAATTTGATATTAAAAATTGGTAACTTAACAAAACCTCTTTGCCTTTCTAAGCCACATTTAATGTAACTTTGCTTACAGATGAATAATCAGACTTGTTTTTAAGTTAAATGAATTAAGTAATACTTTAATTTCAGGTTGAGCACCGAAAACCATGAAATAATGAAACCTGAATTCTGTGTGAATTAACTTGTATATAATTTATAATATAATACACACTAGTTTATGCAAAAACACAAGGGAATAAAATATACAGTGTTTTTATGCAGGTAGACAATGCTTACTTACTGATTAGAGGAGACAAATATTGCTTGCTATGATGATTATCACATTACTATTGATTGCAATATAGTTACAATCTACTGGCATTACAGAGAGGGTGGTAAAGGGTTATTTTCGTGCAATGTGTTTCGCCATTTTTATTTCACGTGCAGCCGTGAAAAAGGTTTCGTTATTCACCGTGTTTTGTGAAATTGGTAAAAAGATCAATGCGAAGAATTTTTAATTGTTCGTTCATTGTGAAATTGCAACTTCGCAATTGCAAAGAATTGCGTTCTTCCGTGCAGATACCTCCTCTTTACGCCCCTCTACAGAGAACTCTATAAAACTGAGTCATTTCATTTTGTAAACATATGAGTAAAACACAAACACTTTTGTGGTAATTAAAACTGATGAGTTAAAAGCAAACTCTTTGTGGTAATCAAAAGCATAACAAACATCACCAAAGATTTCATATGATTTTTGTTAAAAACGAACGTTCCTACAGAAAAGCTTGAAATCTCTTATGTACTTTTCCAAAACAAAGCTACTTTACAAACAAATCATTAATGCATTAGTAGATATTTACATTGGAAGGGTTGAGGAAATTTTTACTTTCTATGTAACATTTACCAAAGGTAACAGAAATTTACCATTTCAGAATCTAATGCTTTCATTTCTATGTAATAATTGCAGATGTGTACAACAAATTTTGATTGGTTAACAATGTCCTTAACAATGAATTAATGAATATGATTGGTTAACTATTTCCTAAATAAACTGTTATCACAGAGATATGTCTCGCCTTTTTGTAATTTTGATAATGCAAATGTTGAAATTAAAATAGCAATACTTTAACATGTAAGTTATGCAAATATTCAAAGTCGATGAACCATGACTGAAGGTACATGGCTAAACAATCTCCATGGAATGAGATGTGCCAATGCTAATTCAACTGCATACCAAATACCATTGACCTATTATAAGTCGTTCCCTTTAAACAAACCTAAACACAAACATTAACTTGTAAACTATGTAAAAGTTTCAAAGTCAATGAACCATGATCAGGGGTGGGGCTATATAATCTCCATGGAAACGATACTTGCAAATGCCAATAAATTTGCATACCAAATATCATTGACTTAACATTAGCAGTTCATCTTAAACTGATCTAATCACAAAGTAATACATGTAAAGTAAGCAAAAGTTTCAAAGTAAATAGACCATGACTGAGGGGGCGGGGCCAAATATTCTCCATGGAAATGAGATGTGCTAATGCTTATACAACTGAACACCAATTAACATTGGCCTACCACTAATGGTTCCCCTTGAACTGACCTAATCACAAACTAATACATGTTAACTTAGCAAAATTTTCAAAGTCTATAGACCATGACTAAGAGGGAGCAGAGCCAAATAATCTCCATGGAAATGAGATATGCAAATGCTTATACAACTGCATACCAAATATCATTGACCTACCACTAGTGGTGCCCCATAAATTGACCTAATCACAAACTAACACATGTAAACTATGAAAAGTTTCAAAGTCAATAGACCTTGACTGAGGGGGTGGGGCCAAATAATCTCCATGGTAATGAGATGTGCCAATGCTAATACAACTGCATACCAAATATCATTGACCTACCACTAGTGGTTCACCATAAACTAGACCTAATCACAAACTAATACATTGTTAACGCCGCCGCCGCATACCTATGTCTCGCTTTTCGACTCCGTCAAGGCGAGACAAAAATGGCATAATGATTATGATTGGTTATCAATGTCCTAGACAATGACATAATGATTATGATTGGTTAACAATGGCATAATCATTTTGATTGGTTAAAAGTGTCCTAAACAATAGCATAATCATTATGATTGGTTAAAAGTGTCCTAAACAATGGCATAAGGATGCTTTCATTCTGGTGTACAAACAATGAAATTACCCACACATCCTTATATTCTGAAATGGCAAATGTCAAAACATTTACATGCCTGTATAAATTGAATGAGTAATTTTTTTACAATAATCCAGTAGGACAGATTTCAATATTTAACCAGAATTAATAGAAACAGATGCTATGAATTATCATCAATTGTCAGTGCTGTGCTGTCTGTTACTGGGACAGGAGATGATGACTGGTTCCCTGTTTCTGTATCGTCTGTCTTTTCACTATTACTGTTCATATCTTTGAAACCTGGTTTTTCTTCTGAAAAAAATGTTTTACCAAATGTTCAAGGTATGAAATATGTATATCCTTCTTGTCTGAACACCATAAGAACAACAACTCAACATTCAATGTTCATTAATGTGTATATTTATGTTTGTTTTGGAGAAGACATTACTAAGTTGCAAAACTTGTATATGATCCACTTGTCTTTTTGAACAATAAAATTCATTTCAACTAACACTTTATTAAAACAGATTGGCTTTCACTTTATTTGCAGAACACAGAAATCAAAGGAAATGGATTTTACTGGATAAATTAAAGGTATTATAAAATTTAGGTTTGTATCAATGTTTATTTATTTACTGATCTTTAATCCAATCACTTCCACTTGGTGCACTAACTATCAAACATCTAAAGATTTTAAAGTATTTTCCTGTTTTCAATAAACTGAACAAGAACATGTTTTGATATATTATGAAACCATGGAATGCTAATCCCAAATTCACTTTTTTCTTTTGAATTGTTTCACATTTTGTCTTGTCAAGGCCTTTTATAGCTGACTATATGGTATGGGTTTTGCTCATTGTTGAAGGCATGTGGCTACCTTTAGTTGTTTAAATTTGCATCAATTGGTCAAGGATGAATATTTGTCTCATTTGCAATCATACATGATCTCCTTATTTTATATATTAACAATTTTAACTTTAAATCAAACTTCAAAGCATTATGATGAGAGGTATAAAAAATTCTGACTGTGTGAAAAATATTCTCCATCAGTAAAATATTAAGAAATCTTTCTGCTAGTATATGATTTTAAGGTGTCATTATATCAACCAAATTAATTTCTTTCATGAAAACAGTAATCAGTATATTTTCTTTTTAATTCCAGTACCTTAAATTCCATTAATAGCTGCAACAGGTTTTCAGTTTGTGAGTTCAAACATTCATAGTACTTTATAAGAACATTAATCATTCCCACTACTTCAGGCAAATTTGACTATAGCCAAATAAAGCTATTTTCCCTTTTATGGTGATATGGCATGTTGTTTCTACTTATTTATACATCCCTGACTTTTAAACAATTTGGGTTTGAGTGTTCCTGAAGGTAAATCTAGAAAAACTAAGATGCACAAAATTTTCATTTAATCACTTTTGCAGTTTTATATATAAAAGGACAAACCTGGTGATTGTATAGAGGCTATTGTCATTATGGCAGGAGTAATCTGTGGCTGGAGATTTGCCAGACTCTCTGGCCAAAATCGTTGTAATGGTCGAGTTTGAGGTTTGGACTTTTTGGTTTTGACTTGTTCTGGATTGCTGGCCTCTAACATTGGCTGAAGTATTCTTCGCCTAGCATTTATAAACCTAAAAACAATGATTTAGTAATTAAAATAAAAGACAATCAAACATATAACATAATATAACTGCTGGTTGGGTTTCTAACTGAAATATGTGGCAGGGTAAATAAGATTTTCGCCATCTCCTCCCAATCATTAATCATGATCAGTGGGTTAACAAAATGTACATGACTTGTGACTAAGATACAGTATGTATGACCTTCAAATATCTATTTATGTGTAAGGATTCATCTTTGAGAGTAAAGCATCCTCGACAAGGACTATGACCTATATTTAATGCTTCCTTGGCTTCATTTAAGTTTAACCTCTGGTCTCATGATGAGGTGAACTTTGTAATGGTAGATTTTCTATGTTTGATTATTAATCTTTTGTTTACTCTATACCAAATGTATCCAGATAAGTACCAGGAATGATGAGAATCTATTTTGGACTTTTTGTTTAAATTTGTCATTGCCACTGAATTTATCTTCAGAATTAAAAAAAATCTCTTTTTTGTTATTGTTATTCTGATACCATTTTTGACAAGATTAAAGAAATCAAATTATATATATTTGTCCTAAAAGACATTTTTTTTCAATGCAAAGACGTCAATGCAATGTAAACTATAATGGCAACAGAATCACAGAGGATAACCATGGCAACGAAATTTTTATCATTTTCATCAGTTTTACACTGTTAAAGCAGTTATTCTCTTTAATATGACCACCTCATTAGCACCATAAAAGGAGTCTTGTAATGAGGATGGAATCTTAGAGATTTTTCAATGTTGTTTGAACCATGAAGGAATTAGTACTATAATTCATGTGTGAAAACAAAATATTTGAATTCTAGCAAAGGTTGCCACACTTGTTCAAAACATATTTTTAATCATTCTCTTAATAAAACCAGTTACCACTACAATTGGGACAACTATCATTCAAAACAAACAAAATTTACTTTTAGTTCTTGTTTAATCACTTACCAATTATTAACTTGTAATAAAGTGAGGTTAGTTTGATTAGCAATCTGTCTTTTTTCATCTTCTGTTGGATATGGATGCTAAAATAAAATACTCAATTGCAGCTTTAGTGTATACATTTGATTTAATCAAAACATAATGTCAATCACCTTTATCTCAAATTTAACAAACATAAAGAAATATATAATATCAGGTCAATGTTAGAAAAATATCAACTTTTTGTATGAGGCTTAGGAACTGGGGAAGAGAGAAGTTTACGAGCCCTTCAACTGTTTTGTACTGAAAACAAAAAACAGTTGATATTTTTACGACATTAACCTAATACTGTTTTTATACTGCAGCTGAAAATGGCTAAATTATTGTATGAAAATGTTAACACAAAAATACATCATTCCATCCCTTAACCCCAAATTGTGAAGAAAAGTAACGTGACAAGAAATCGACATTGCACAAAATATCACTCTGTTACTGAAATTGGTAGAAAGACAACAGAAGTGTTCTAGCTGCAGTATAATGCATTTTCTTAAAAATACTTACAAATTTTAAATATAAAGAAATAAAAATATATTTGTTGTAGATATTTGTCATTTTTTTGTAGGGAAAATACCACACTTTGTATTGTTTCCTTTTGAAATAAATGGGGAATGTGTCCATGGGACATAGATGATGCCCCCTCTTGCATATAACATTATGTAGGGACATAACTCAAGAACGGTAAAAGTGACGCTACCAAATTTGTACTTGATCTGAGTTTTGTGGTAATAAGCATTGTGTATAAGTTTAATAACATTTGGTTGATGCAAAAGTAAGTAAGAAACGGAAACGAAAAATTCAGAAATTTTTCCATTTGTAAACATGGTAAAGGGGCATAACTCTAGAACAGTAAAAGTGACGCCACCAAAATTCAAATTGAACTGTGTTTTGTGGTAATAAGCATTGTGTACAAGATTCATAACATTTGGTTGAGGCTATCTTATAAGGGAATGGAAAAGAAAAATTGTTCGTTTGTAAAGGGCATAACTCTAGAAAGGTAAAATTGATGCCACCAAAATTCAACCTTGATCTGTGTTTTGTGGTAATAAGCATTGTGTATAAGTTTCATAACATTTGGTTGAGGCAAACTAAGTTAGAGAACAGAAACCAATTTTGGGACGTACAGATGTTTGGATGGACAAGGGTAAAACTTAATGCCCCCTCCGCTACGTCAGGGGCATAAAAATTTATTTATTCCATTTGAATAAATATTTTACATTTGTAATGAAATAGTTATATTGTAAACACACGGCAAAATATATATGAGCCCCTATCCTTTTATCTCATTTTGAAATTATTACGATACATACAACAATATGCTGGAATAACCATGATTTCATGACTTGAGTTGCTGACTTCGGTAAAACTCCTCGTTTACTCTTCTTTTTATCACTACCATCTTCATCATCAGAACTTAAATGACCTGCTAATGCTGACAAAGCACCTGTAATCACCATTAATACATAATAAACAGCAACTCATACAAAATTTTGGCTACTACACATGTATATGTATGTGTAATTGCAAATGAGACATAAAAACTAGAATAATTCAAACATGTAAAAATTCCAGTTAATAGTTCTGTAGTTACAATCATGAACATGATAAAGCTTATGAGGGTATCAATACATATTCTAACAGGAAGTATAATTATAATGAAGAAGCAGCCTATAATAACAATAACTTAAGGTTTTTGGTCAAATTTACACATTTTTCACATAAAATGGAAATAAAAGCCTTTATTGTAAGATATTTATCTTTATACCTTATTTCAGGTGTTTTTCTTGTCAGGTCATGCAAAAATTTGCATTACAAAACACTTACAAAAAAATAAAACATAGGAAAGTTACCCTGATATACAAATCAGACATGGGGCGAATTACATTGCAATGTAATGCATTATATTACAATTACTTTGACAAAACCATGCATTAAATTACAATTACATTCATTTATCAAAGTAATGCATTACATTACAATTACTTTTGCAAAGTAATGCATTGAATTACACATTACATTTGTAAATTTTATTATTAGGTGAATAGAAAAATCAAACATTTTGAAAAACAACACGAAGTCACAAAGCAGTAACTCAGAGCTCCAGATAAGCTGCGTATTTGCATGATCACGCAATACAAATAATTAAAAACCCAATGCAATTGCCCATTGCAGGGTTCAATAACCCAATTAATTCAACGGAAAACCCAATTATATGCCAAAACCATGAGTTCTTAACGCTTTTATTCGCTATCCTTTGCGTTATTTACCCTTATCTGATTACAGTCGTCGCATAAATCTATTTTTTTAATATTTATAATTGGAAATGTCTTTTCGTTCTTAAAATAGAGCCCTGCATCAAGTAGCTGTAATGGGTCCCTGTTGGAATTTTCCGTTGCTCAAAAGGTACACGTGTTTATGAAAACATTTCGATATTCTCGGCGTTTATCCAATTAGCGTGTGACATGCTGTCATATTTTTTCGAAATGCTCGGGATTTATCATAACATACAATGAATTAAAATGAAAGTAAATGTCCGATAAAAATATTGAATAGAAGCATGTTTTCGGCTTCTTTTTGATAGCTGAGGGAAAGTTATGATGATAACAGGACTCAGCTAGTGATTTTAGGAAGCATCCATTGAACGCACGGGCATGTTTGCGTACCTTAACGAGAACATTGCTATAGAACGATAAACACGAGGTTTCGTCAAAAATGAAATCAGTTGGAAAAAGTGAAAGGCCAAATCAATTATGACATGATATGTAGTTGGAAAGCATCGGAAACCAAAAGTTCTGATAAGGGACAACTTAACCCAGATTTATGTAAATTGAATTAAACAAAAACAGTTTATATATTATTTTTTTCATTTTAGTTGATGAATACACATATCCGTTTTTTACGTCAAATTATGCAGCTTGACACTTTCTTTGTTTTGGTCTAATTGTTCTGGATGCTTAAGATAGTTGTCTTATTGGCAAGTGCAGTATAACATTGTCATTTATTTACTTGATGTTGCAGAATTATTTGTAAATTTAAGTTGAATGTGGTCTCCATCATTAAACCACCCTATAAATCTCAAGGTTTTGGGGTATATCTTAAATCTGGGAACTACTTTTTATTTTTATTAAAAAGTAGATCTGGCAAATAGGTGAAAGGACTGGCAAAACTTTCTTACAGCACCTAAATTTCACATATATTACATAAAAATCTAAACACTTAGCCACACCTACCCCAACTATAAACTGTAGGGTGATCATATGGGATCTAGAAAGGCAATTAGTTACTGTTCAACTAGTGACACCAGCTGCAGTTTACATAAGTTTTGAGAAAATACAAAACTGACAGAACTTTTAAAACAGGACACAAATTTAACGTACAATTGCTCGTCAGTGAATAAACCAAATAAAACAGCTAAGCACATATACAAAGAAAGAAACACATTAAAGATGGAAACACATCTGGGGTTGATATAATGTGATTTTAACATGCCTAAATATTCAATATTGTGTTGATGAAAAAACCCAATACATTAAGGAGCTTGGTGGTGAAAAACCCAATTTGATATTTGCATGAGGGGTGAATTGGAATCGATAATGCAATTAAAAAACTTTATCACCCAATTACATAAAAAAATGGTGGGTAAAAACACCAATTTGTGAATTCTTATCTGGAGCTCTGAGTAACTGTTCCATGCATTGAATTTAAGTATACATGTAAACAGACTATTTAATTCGGCTATTACATTTTTTATTATTTAAACTTAATGTTGACTTTACTTTTATAAATATATATTTTTTGTTTTTTTTTTTAATTTTAATCAAAATATTTAATTACTGAGAAGAATTTCTTTCCTAATTATATAATAAACATAGAGCTTAATTAATGAACAATTGTCCAAATAATGAAATATTGATTGTAAAACAAACTTATTAGTGTTTTATAACAATCTTCAATAATCTTTTATTTAATCAAGACAAGGTATTCTTTGATCTTATGACAACAATATAGTAATGCTTTTCAAATATCAATCTTTTTATGCAGGAAAATGTATATAATAAAATGAAATAAAGAATATATTCAAATAATTAATATATTCTTAATCAAGAAATCTTAAATTCTGCTTTAGTTAAATCTCCAACAATATTTTAAAGATGTAGTATGTGAAAAAAGTAAGCCGTGTAAAAGTGAACAATTTCAATATTTATCATAAATGTTTTATACAGACAAAATTCTAAATGTATCTGAAATTAGTACTAGGGTGAACATAATAAACAGCTATCTGTGAAATTACAGTTAATTTATGTCAAATGAATATCCAGTGTTTATACTCAACTGTCTTCATGTAGTTCATCATATGTTATCAGTTTGCAGGAAAGATATTTAAACATACATTGACACATAATTTTGACTCTTAACTGACCAGCCTTTGCTCTAACCCTGAAATGTACCATGTATGTGGAAGTGAAGCTGTCTATGAAGCAGTAATTGCCAAATCTAAAGGTATTTGGTTTTTCCAAGCAGGGTATTGAAACCACAAACATTAAAACTCAAGGTAATAATGCCAAGGCATGATCACCAGACTGTGATTTTTTGTTAACTTTAATTACTGAAGTGATATATTACCTGCACTTGCCGCTGGAGTAACAGAATTGACACCAATCTGTGATATTGGTGTGCTACCATGGACCTGGACTGGATTTGATGCTGCTTGAAACTGAGAAGAAAAAGTTATTCATATTTATCAAAGTAGATACAATACCTTATGTTATATAAAAACTCTTCAGAATTTACTGTGTTAAATACCTACCGATAGTAAGTTTCAAAAGATATAATGCATCATTAGAGGATTTTTTTTTAAAATTTAGCTACAAACAGATATGACTCATTCATTTTGTAGTGTATTTAATCTTAAAAACAGACAGATTCTACTTTTTAAAACAAGACAGCTCAATCTACCATCATTTGCTTGTAAATGTCCTTTATCACACCTCTAAAAATAAAAGAAGAATGTGTCTGAGGGCACGAATGCCCCCGCTCAAGCTTTGCAATTTTCCAAGTTAAAAAGTGGCATAACTCGATAAACGACTCACTGCCCAAATTCAAACTCTGTCTCCTTGTTGTGGTTTTAAGCATTGTGTAGGAGTTTCATAAAAATTTGGATGAGACAAACTTTAGTAAGAGTGCTGAAACTGAAAAAATGAGCAATATTCAAATTTAAAAAGGGGGCATAACTCTAGAACTGTTGATAACATACTGCCAAAATTTAAACTCTGTGGTTTGTGATTTTTTGTATTGTGTATATGTTTCATAAAATTTTGATGAGGCAGGGGCATAAAAATAATCAATGGTGAGCTTATCATGAAAAAACAACCATGATGTCAACATTGGAATACTAAACAAAACCAACTGTAAACACAATATTGTGCTTGACAAACAAAGTGCTAAACATTTATTTGTATGTACCATGAAAAAAGGGTCATACTGGTCAACTTAGGGCCCTGATACCATGCAAACTGTATGAGTTTCAGATAATCTAAAGCAAAAACTCAATAAGTTCTCCTCTTGAAGAAAAGAATTTCATTCTAATTAGATAAAATATAAAATTCCATAAAAAAATAAAAAATGTTTCAGCTTCTTGGTACCTCAAAACTCAGAAAGAACAAGAGCAAAAACAAATATAATAGTCCAACAATATGACTATATCAGTCATTTATAGGGGAGTAAAATTAAATTTTGCATTATATATCAGACAATATGAAAGTTTTTTTTTTAAAAGTTATCTGTGATAATTTCTGAATATAACATTCACATACCTGTATTGGTTGAGCCACCAGGCCTTGTGGAGTGTGAACCATTTGATATATCGTGCCACCAGACATAATCTGACCTGGACCTAACTGTGGCATTGACACGGAGGCTGGAGACACTGTCTGTCCTAACATCACATTGTTGGCTGTAGATGTAATCATTGGGGCTATTGGTACATTCTTTGTACCTGAGGGCGGTGGTGATCCAACATCTGAATCGTCAAAGTCTGATTCCACTTTCAACAATTGTTCACTTTGAAGTTTTCCTCTTAGACAATTAATGTAACGATTACAAAAGTCTTTACATAGTTCGTTCACTTTCTCTAATTCTAACAGATGAATGCGTAATACCTGAATAGCTTTGACCATCTATAAACAGACATATAAAAATTGATTAATGTTATTAAAATGCTTCAGCTAAAGTTTTTAAATGGTGTGGCTCAAACTGAAGGTAGGATTCAACATGCTTAAAGGCATAAAAAATGCTTTAAGTATGACACATTAAAATTGTATTAAAGAAGTTTCTTAACTAAATTTTTATGAAGGTAGTTCAAACTGATGGTACATACCTATATGCACAACTTAAACGTCAGGAGTGAAACATTTCTTGGAAAAGCTGCCTAACTGTGTTCATTTATTTTTAACAAGCACTATTGCTGTTCCTCACATCTTTTTTGTCTAAAAAACTGTGTAAAATGGTCATCTTACCTCAAATATGTCAATTTCTGTTTAAGACATCATAGTGTCATCACAAGTGACTTTTCTGCACTGAAGTGTCCAGATTATATTAACCTGTCCATTTATCAATAAAATTAACATAATTTTGAAAGGCTTTATTAAATTATTAATTTTTCTATTTTTGCAATTTCAGGGGCCAAATAATGTCTCTTATCATGACTTATCATACATTTTTTGATGTACCTCCTCCTTTGTAAATAAGATCTGCCATATCCTCAACATGCAATTTTGTAATAAATAAAAGATACAAGCAACACAAAGAACTGAAGTAGTATTATCTGTCTGTTTTTAATCGTTAAAATAAAATAAGATTTTGAATAGATTTTCAACTACTCTTTAATTTTACATATAAGTATATGCAAGCATAACATATTTATCCATAAAAACTGCAAATGCAGCTTTGAAATTATATTTGCAAGTATAATGTTTATTTAACTTCGGCAAAGCTGTAGCAACTTTTATAAATTCCAAAAAATACAAGTAAAGTAATAAACTTAGCCTTTTGGGTTATTCAAACTACACAGTGACACAAACATACCAAATTGTCTAATTCTGGGTCTTCACTGAAAAAAGGTTTTCGGTCTTTCTCTTGACGTTGTACAAAGGACTGAATATCAATATCAAAACTGTCAGAACTGGGACAATCTGCCGACTGTGAGGCCTGTTCACATTTCTCAAATAACAACACTAATAATGGAAATAACGGATGGCTGAAATAGAAATCATATCAAGTAAACAATAATAAAACCAGGCTTCTTTCAGAAATACAGTGTAACACAATAAGAATAAATCACAAATATTTTGTTATATATTTCATATAAAACTTTTTTCCCCCTAAAATTATTGGAATATTATTTCTGGTTAGAGTTTGATCAACTTGGTACAAATATAAGCAGATATGTCACTGGTTTGATTTTTCATTTGGATATATTTTTGTTGTGAAGTGTTTCATTTTCTGATGATATAAACACAGTTATTATTTTTGTCAATTTTGCTTATTTCTTTTGACCATAAAAAAGTGTTGGTCCATGTTTCATTCATTCCAGAAAGATTTGACAAAGTTATTGATGTTTAAAAATGTTTAACCAAAGTCTGAATCTAAAATTGTTGATGCTGCTGCTGTTGACAGAATGTAGGATCGCTATGTCTTGCCTCAAGTACAAAATGTTGCACATTCGTCAAAAGAGCCAACTTTGTTAAGTATCAACTTCTTCTCATTGTAATCTGCAAATCAAATTCCATTTCTACAAAGGCAAGTTTAAAGGATTAATTCAGGCAGTCCTGGACTTAAGTCTTCTAGATGAATCATATTAAATCGCTACTTGCATATATCCAAGTAATTGTGGGTTACCTGATGTGTATTGAAATGTGAACTGTACAACAATGTCATTAAGGGTATCATTAAGTGATAGCTGATTCATCTATCAACCTTACCTATATATAGCCTTCTTTTCATCCTCTGTTTCTGAACTGTTCTTTGTTGTTTCTGTTCTATAACAAGTAAACATATAGGTTAAATATAACAAGTAAACATATAGGTTAAATATAACAAGTAAACATATAGGTTAAATATAACAAGTAAACATATAGGTTAACTATAAATTTTGTTTATATACAACTTTTCTGCATATTGATATTTAGCAATACATTGTACCTATAAAAACTTTTTACGGATTTGTTTGCCTGTAGTGTATATTTATTTCTCTAATTCCTCGTCAATTTATCCCTTTCTGCACCCATTGTATAAAAAAAATTTAATCAACGTGTGGTTCGTTTGATCTCAGTTCTTCATTGGTTAAAATCCGATTATGACGTCGAGTTTTCTTGCTTTCCTCTGAATTTCCTATTGTGACGGCATGAAAAAAGGCGACCATGCCTGATGACGTCACATAGAAAGAACACATCTTTTTGCAGATCATTCGAAAAGAAGGAATAAATTTGCCTGCATATTGTTTGAAAATCATTAGAGAAACAGATTCCACCACCAAATCTCGTGTAATACGATATTTATCCACTCTTGACAGTTAAATTTGAAATATTTAAAACGCTCGGCAAGCCTCGCGTTTTAAATTTGAAAATTTAACTGTCTCGAGTGGATAAATATCGTATCACACTTGATGCAGTGGTAGAATCTATATGTATTTGTGTGGTTTTATTGATCAAAACATTACTTTTTTCTATCTTTTGCAAGCTTAGATATACATGTATATCAGTGATAAATCCAGGTCGAACACTTATGACCTCGCAAAGCAAGGTGAACCCCATTTCATTTTCAATATGATCTATGAGATTCATTAATTACTCAGTACACAAAAATACGAAAAGTAGCAATTATTATTCATTTTCTTCTTTATTTTAAAACTAAACATGCTAAATAAAAAAAACATCATGAACATTACAATGATCTCTATATAGATGTTAACACTTAAAATGTACATTATACATTTTAAACACAAGTTCAATTTTTTCCGATAATCTTATAGTGAAGAGCTAATTATAAGTGCAAATGAAGTTTAATTTTGGGTACATCTTTGAAATGTTTGCTGCTGTGTCTGTGGTGATGTTTTAGATTTCAATGAGGCTCATTGACTGTCAATTACATAAATCTATGTCTTCCATTCCTGAATTTTCCACACGTTCCTAAATTCTCCTTACAAAGACAAGCAGTCTTTTTATTTTATAAAGCATAAAACTTTTAAAAGATTTGTTAAATTCAAAAAATAAAAATCACCCATCACATTCTTGTATTCCTGCTGTTGTAACAATGGCTGCTAACAAATTTACTCCTGTGTACTGTGAAATGTCTGGTGGTAACACAGACATCATCTACACCCCTGAAACATAAATTTCTACAATTAAAAAAATTTTCTACATGTTACAGTTAAAATTCCTTTTTTAACAGATTTATTGTAGAAAAATAACATCATAGACTTTTATCAAAATTATCTTTTTCATTTCGATGCATTCTGTTCAACTGTACTAAGTTTGTTGATAAGCCTCATACAAAACAAAACAACAAAGTGATGCTGCGCAATCCACTTTGAGGTAACTGTTCTTTGAGATATTATTGTGTCTGGGAGACATAAATGATGCCCCCGCAGATGCAAAGTGTTATTTTAAAATACACAAAGTTGAGCATGGGAGCGCATAGCTGATAGGTCCATGGTTCACTTAAGGAGTTATCCGGAAGGCTTATGCAAGTATACACTCCAAAAATGACAAAGTTCAACTATCTCCTAAAAGAGCAAATATTAATAAAAATCAAAACCCTGACCACATGCACACCTTCAATATATGAACAAACTGTCAGCGAAGTGAAAACTTCCTAGCATTCAAACTGAAGACGGAGTTATCTGGAATAACTATATACCCATAATGGGACGGACGGACAGGGGTAAAACAATATGCCCCCAAACTTTTAGTTGCGAGGGGCATAAAAACATTTGAAACTTATTTCAATGCAAACCAAACGGGTTTCTTGAATGACCTTCATTAGTTGGGAAAGGCTTCCTTAAACACCCTCTAATAATGGATAAGCATAGACATACATGAAGGAGGGTTCAAAAGGAAGTCTTGCCATTAGTTGTATTGTACTCTACACTGTTACCGGTACATTCTAATAGAAAAAGAACTTTGCAAAAGCCAATTCTCTTTATTTAATTTTTACCAGAGGGGCAGAAACAAGATCTTTAGTTACATTACATTGTTAATGATAATTCTAATAAGAGTATACCTGCTTTTTGTGCAAATGCATTAATACACAAAATTGGCAGTTCCATGTTACGCCCACCTTACTTATACGACCAGGTAAACTCAATTTGCAACAGTAAAACCCATGTTTCACTGAGCCAAACTTCAAATACAATATGGTTAACTCGAGTTTAATGCAAAATGAACGAATCTCCATTTCAGTTATTATTTCAGTGTAAAATTTCATAAAACGAAAATTCCATCAAACGATGTTATCTCTTGGGAAACTAAACAAGGTGACGTCATCTATATGCTTCTGGTGTCAAATGTCAAAACCAGACATTTTCAGGCTTCATGTATGCCTCAGACATGTCAGAATGTAATAAAATTAGGTAAAAAGAACATTACTGAATATTAAGATATGAATCTTGTAACATCTGAATCTGTGTTTTGTTTTTGACCTAACGTCACGGTACCCAAATTTCACCTATTTAGCAAACATAGCAGAGGAAGTCTTACAAGTTTTCTTAAAGAAAACAATTTGTATTTTTATGATTGACATTATGCACGTCAGCATAGCTTAATATATTACGATATACAAAAAACGTTCTCAGCATATATCAACAGACAAAGTATCCAGCAGAAAAATAATATCTACGGAAACGTGGCTATGTGATGTCCATAAAGAGACAACTTTTAATTGTTAGCAATTAAAATACGTTACAGGCAACAATTCTTTAAAAAATGAATAGAAAACGTTCATTATTGTCAAATAGTTCTAAATATTTGGAGAAGTAAAACAAAACATCATTTTTTTTTTATTTTTACAGATGTTAATTTAAGCATGGTGCAATTTAGGTACTCCTCATTTATATATAACAGAATCATGGATCGTTTGGAGATCAGTTCAAACCCATTTTTCTATGATTCAATTTGGATTCAAAATTAAATTGGTGGAACTATATCATGTATACATACAGTAAATAAGGATACATCATCCAACACAGATCATAAAAAAACATAGGTGAAAAAACTGTCAAAATAGAGGGGCCTGATGGGGGGGGGGTCTCATCACGATTCACGAGTTGATTTTTTTGTCAATCACGATTCACAGAAAATAAATTTCCATGATCACGGATCACGAAAATATAAAAATAAAATAAATCTGTAGAAAAACGGATCGCGATAGCGAAAATGCGCTGATCACGAAGAACGAAAATAACCCATCAGGCCCCTCAAAATAGGTGCAATTATGGTACCCTCACGTTATACTACACTATTAAAAAATCATTTTCACCTCTGAAAAACAGTTTTAATATATTTAATATTCCCTTATTATTTTGGTAAACAGTGTGTTGTTATTGTACCAATTTATTCCTATTGAGTTTTATCTATATTTAATTTTAAAATATCACAACAGTCTAAATCTATATTTACACAAATTTCACGGTCTTGTGACTTAAATATCAATTATCTTGTAACGGTCAAAATTACACATTCAATATTCGTTAATACAAAGGAAGAAATGTTAAGATTTTTCATATTAAACTAACTAACATTCATGCTTTAAATTAAAACAGGTTGATTATCCAAACGTCTAACCCGTCTATTGACCAAGTTAAATTTTGTTGAAAACGCGATATAAAAAATCATTAAAACAGCATACACGGAACACTGTTTACGATGTAGGCCATTTCAATTAAACAAGATTTAACTGACACACAAGAGGAATGTAAGAATTACATGAAGTAATATAAGAAAAAGATACATAAATCAGATCAAAACATGCCAATCTTACATATAATTGACAGTTTACCCTCGCTTCTAGACGTTGTCACTCTTCGTCAAAATGGCGGGCATCAATTTGCCGACACTGCCCACAAAACCACGTGACATTGACGTAAACTCTACTTTTTAACACTTTTTACATAGAAATTCATTAAAGTATACATTGTTTTTACGGTAATTAAATGTAAATTGTTTGATTACATTGTAGAAAAATCTTGCACAATGAATTTAATTTAGGAGTCGTCTTAATTAGATTTGATTTATGATGATTAGCACATCCCATTGGACACCCTCAAATCAGTGTTCTCATTGAATGACACGTCTTGATTGACAATGACAGGCGATCAAATAAAGGTTGATGACCACGCATTCTGCGTTTCCAAATGAAATATGAAAGTAAAAGTAAGCGCAACAGATATAATCTAGGAAACGTTTTCATGTTTGTCTGTTTAATAAATTCATTAGCGTTTTGGTATAACTTATAAATAATTTGCTGATAGTCGGCCGTGACCTGTTGTTGATCGATTGACACTTTCAAAGCTTGAGGTGGAAGGCACAGTTAGGGTAGTCAATATACATTAAAACACCTTAAATCAACCGAAGGGTTGTGGTAAATTGACAGAATCTGACCCACATTTGATTATTCCGGTGGTCCAAGATGGCTTGTATTCACATTCTCAAGTTTATTTAAAAAAAAAATCCCCATTGTTATCATGGTTATACATTTGAATTATCTAAAACTTTTTTTTTTAAATCGAAGCCTCAGATTTCCATCTCTTTCTTCATTACTTTCCATACTTAAAAAAAGTAAAAAGTAGCACTCCACATCATCAAGAAATCAGTTATTGGCTAAATAAATCTGTTCAAGGCTCAGACAAGTATGAGAATAAAGAAAAGGGGGTGGGGGGGTACCATTAAAATTGGTCCAGAAATACATAAACCATTTGTTGACTACGAAAACAGTGAAATTTAATACATAACAAACTTGTCATGATTCTCAAGCTATTAATATTTTGTAACAGTAGTCATAGGTATATTCAATCTATTTATTAATATCAGAGACATATATAAGAAATGCTTAAAAGATTATTATGAATTGCAGATATTTTTTTATCACTAGATCCTGGGACACAATATATTGACAGTATACTATTCCATACAACTGAGATCCTAACATAAAATCAAGTATTCATGTTTTTGATCACACCGTGAAACCTAAGTATTTTTAAGTTAGTGAATTGTGGGGAATGTTTAATTCTCTTTCCTCCAAATGTATCTTTCGAATAAAATATACCGAGGTCGATTTCATAGCAACTTTATACTTAGGGTGCAAATAAAAAATGCTGCAGCAGTGCTATCTGAACTTGGTAGCTTTCCAATTTATTATAATTGTACTGGTATCGATTAGAGAATTTAGGGATTTAGGGAACAATGTCCAGTTGCGGATCCAGGGGGGGGGGGGGGGGGGGGGGGGGGGGGTCCGGGGGTTGGAACCCCCCCTTTTTTGACGATCAATGCATTTGAATGGGGACATATGGTTGGAACCCCCTCCCCCTTTATCCTGGGTTAGGAACCCCCCTTTTATAAATGGCTGGATCCGCCCCTGATGTCCTTCTTTTAAAAGAGGCATATGAACAATCTAAACCAATACATCAGCTGAATGAAACATTATGGTATGTTATATCGAATGTACTTGGAACTGATTGTACGCAGGCTAAAAATGTTCCTTTTAATGAGTCTTTTTACAAATTAACAAAGTATTCCCAAATTAAGCAACACCATTGTCCATAATCATGATTATAACTATTGGGGGAAAAAACAGTTATTATATATATAATAGATATAAAAATAAGGAGATGTAGAATGATTGCCAATGAGACAACTATCCACCGAAGTTAAAATGAAGTGGACACATGTAAGCAATTCCAGACAACATACGGCCTTCAACAATGATAAAAACCCATACCGTATAGTCGGATATAAAAGGGCCCGACATGAAAAATATGAAACATTTCAATTGAGAAAACGAACGGCCTAATTTATAACAAAACAATTTACGAAAAAACAAATATGACAACCACTGAACTACAGGCTCCTGACTTGGGACAGGCACATAAAGAATGTGGCGGGGTTAAACATTTTTGTGAGCGCTCAACCCTCTCCTAACCTGGGACAGTGATTTAACAGCACAACATAAGAACAAACTATAAAACTCAGTTGAAAAATGCTTAACTCATCAGATAGATACAGAGAAAAACATCAAACAAAAACAGAGACAGGAAGTGGCAGGGTATATATCTATCCCTCATTACTAACAACAAAAAAGACACTAAGTATAGATTTGAGAGTACTCGCAGTTTCTGACAGCTAGTTCAAAGTCAATAACAACTAATAAAAAAATCATGTATCTAAGACTTAAATATCAATCAGTACACATCCAACATCCAATGGATTTAGTGTAAAGACGTCATTAACATGCGGAGAAAAACATGACCTTGTGCAATGCCAAAATAAAGGTATCGCCAGATTGTAGTACCGTGAAAGTACATATGTGTAATATTTAGTACGGTTTTAATTTACTGATAACAAAATAAATATTTATACCAATAAAAACAATATTCAAAGATTTTAATTACAGTGCTGAATAGGTTACCTTTTAGAATAAGTTTATTTAAAGGATTGATAAGTTTACCCGGATCGAATCTAAATTTCCGGGCTCAGTTAACAACATCACCGTAAAATTTAGAATGTGCCATTCCGTTTAAAATAAGTTTTCTTCAGGTACAGCCAAACTTGCAAACCAAATTTTTGTATCGATGGATTAATTTAGTAAAGGTTTTAAAGTAATTTGTGGCTACGATTTACTAGTAATACATAGATTACGTTCATTGAAATCCAAAACGTCACTATAGACACGAGCATATATAGCGAACGAGTTGGGATATATTAACACCGTAGGACGGTGCCAAAGGAACATCACCGTCCAAAAAAAAGAAAATTAACAATAAGGAAAGAAAAATCATCCCTTTTGTCGTAATTTTTTGTATAGAGTTTCTGGTGTAATACTGAACTATCTAAATATAGGAAAAAATGTTGTGTTGTTGAATTTATCGATTAAATGTTACTAAGTTTGGCCATAAACTGTGATTCATAACAGTATAGGAACAAGACTACTATTTAAGGGGCACAATTGGTGCCCATAGGAATACCTACAATCTGTCGATAAACTTTATTGCCGAAATGTACATAAATGTTGTCAAGGGAAAAATTTAGGGCTTTGATCATCTCATCGCACCCCCAGTAAGTATATCTAGCATATCTATCTTTCTCATCGGAGAAAAAAGCTTTATATGAGTTGCATCAAATAAATGTGCAATCAGATTTATCAAACGACCATCTAATTAGATAGGAAAACTTTTGTTTGATACGATTGTGTGGAAGTGTAGTATATAGAGTGGAAAACTCAAAACTGTCAACCGAATCAAAAGGACCACGTAAGCACGTAGTTTATCTAAAACATCCAAACAATTTTTTACACTCCAAAAATGGTTAATTCCACTATTTTCATATGTTTTATTACAACAATTAATAATAAGTTCTTTGATAGTAGTTAAGGAACTAGTTAAAAGCACCGAAAGATAACTAGTAGAACACTTAATAGAGGCAGAGATGAAACGATATTTTACATTTTTTTTGTGCAGTTTAGGTAACCAATACATAGTGGGGACCTTCAAATGTTAGTATATTTTTTATCGTTCGGTAACGGGTAGAATAGTAGCACGTATACACTGCAGTTGTAAAATTGTATGGATAATAGAAATTAACAAATAAAATAGGGGAAATCAGTTTAATAAAAAATCTTAAACAAAAAACAAATACCAAACAAAGTCCATGCCCCTAGCGCCTGTGATTTTATTTCAAGTATAACATTAACTAAACAGGCGCCTACAATTACTAAGTGGTTGACGTTTTTTGCTGCATAGATATATCTATGGTTGCTGTATATCATATTTGTTTTTCGTTTATTGTTTTGTACATAAAGTGATACACCAGTCCGTTATATATCAATTATCAATGATCCATTAAATTAAGGTCAAATGTCAGATTAACCCGGGTAAATGGAAATTGCTTATATTTTCGTCATTTAAACTCTGGCGGATAGTTGTCTCTTTGGCAATCATACCACATATCTTTATCTTTACGATGTACACCTTACAATCATTTCAAGCACCAAATATAGTTGATTTAAAGTGCTCAATATGAGTATCTTAGAAAAAATATAATCACGTTGACTATATTATAACTGAAAAATAGAAATAACCACTACAACTTAACGTTGTCCAATGAACGTCTAGGTAAGCTGAACTATGCCAGACAAACATGTTCACTAAATTATAACACTCATTTCATACATCAAATATAGTTCACCTACTGCTTAAAGTATATGGGATACGGACTTAATCACGAAGACTTAACGTTGGACTTACGCACCGTGAAATTAAGGTCAAGGTAAGATGAACTCTGCCAGACGGACATTTACATATTACAATCATTACATACATCAAATATAGTTTTACTAGCGCCTATAGTATATGAGAAAAATACCCAAATCAAGTATCATTCAATACAAAGTACAAGCATGTAGTTCACATGTTACTTATAATATTTCAGAAACGGAACTATAAAAAGGTCAAGGTCAGAAGAACCCTGCCAGACAGACTCATGCACATTACAATCATTTCATTCATCAACTTTAGATGACCTTTTGCCTATAGTGTCTGAAAAACGGAAATTATCATGAAGACTTAACATTGACTACTGACCCATGAAATTGGTTCCAGTCCAGAAGAACCATACTACTAGACAGACATAGACACCCAACAAGCCTTCATTCACCAAATACAGTTGACCCATTGCTTATAGTATATGAGAAATGGAAATGATCACGAAAACGTTCACCACTGATCCATGCAATTATGTCAAGGTGAGGCTGAGACTGTTATAGTAGTCTCAGGGGTGAGGTAATCTCTTTCTGATTTACATTTTTTTTTATACCAAACAAGTTGTCCAATAACTTAAAAGCAGTCACATGATAAACAAAACTCGTTTTTAGGCAGTATCTGAAACACGAAAACGAAAACGAAAACGAGTTCAAGGACAATGAACATGTGGTAGATGGGAAGTTCAGAACACAAGGCACCTGTTTTACTGTATACAAGACATGAAGTATCCAGGTTCTTCTTCCTTCTGAAATCTGAAGCTTTATACAAAGAGCTTACACCAGTGCTGGATAAGATCTAGGTAGACAAAATTTAATAAGCCTTTAAAAAGAAAGTGCTTATAAGCACTGGAAGATGCATCCATTTACCACTTGGAACTAAACATCAAACTATGTATTGTATTAAGCACTAGAAGGCAATATTTTAAATTGGAGACACAGTGTATCAACTACAGTTATGAACAAAGGAAGATAATTATTTTTAGAAGATTCATGCACCATGCACAACGTATGTAATTTTCATGAAAAGGATCTTTATACACAAACACAAAAAAATTCGTAACTTGAATATATATTTGAGTATATATCTTATATTTTGAATTTCTTGATATGTTCATAGATAGGATAAAAAGAATGTTTTTCTCGATGCACTATATTAATGTTCTCTCTAAAGTAGTGGTGAACCATCAAGTCAGTCCTGTAATGGTTAATATGATTGCATGAAATATATATTAAAAAAGTCACAACTCCTATGAGTCAATTGTTTTGGATATTTGGCAATTTTGAAGATCTTATGTTAATAATTTTAAGTTAACTGCTTAGAATTTCTACCTATTATGAATAGGCAAACACTTCATTTAAGGGCAATGCCTCCTATAGTGAGTCGTACATTGGTTTTGGTCACATCTTTTTTGTAGGGTTTATATTGCTGATCATTTTTGCTGTTTACAGTTTCTAGCTTTCTATTATAATTTTCGAAATAAAAGGCAATAAAAGAAGAATTTGTCCATGGAACAAAGATGTCCTCACTTGTAAATATGCAAGAGTCTATGTACAAATTCAAACCTATTGAGGTTAAATTCAACAATGTTTCCTAATTCAAACTTATCTGTGTATGGTGGTAGTAAGCATTTTGTGCAAGTTTCATAACATTTAGTTGAGGCAAACTTGAGTTAGAGTGCAAAAACGGCAAATTCAGCAATTTTTCAATTTATAAAGGGACATAACTGGAGAAAAGTGAAAGTGACGCCAATCAGATTCAAACTTGATTTGTGTTTGGTTATATCCATTGTGTAAACGTTTCATATTTGGTTGAAGCCAACTAAATATTATTGTTATATACATATACACATTCATGGATCTACAATCTGTCGATACCTGTATCTTGGCATTGCACAAGGTCATGTTTTTCTCTGGCTGTTTATGACGTCTTTACACTAAATCCATTGGATGTTGGATGTGTATGGATTGATAATTTAGTCTTAGATGCATGATTTGTTTTATTAGTTGTTAGTAGCTTTGAACAAGCTGTCAGTAACTGCGAGTACTCTCAGATCTGTACTTAGTGTCTTTTTTTGTTTGGATGTACAAGTACCCGGCCACATCCACTTGTATTTGTAGTATTTGTATTTTTATCCATCTGATGAGTTAAGCCTCTTTCAACTGATTTTTATAGTTCGTTCTTATGTTGTATTGTTACACCACTGTCCCAGGTTAGGGGGGGGCTGGGATCCCACTAACATGTTTAACCCGCCACATTCTGTATGTATGTGCCTGTCCCAAGTCAGGAGCCTGTAATTCAGCGATTGTCGTTTGTTTATGTATTACATATTTGTTTTTCGTTCATTTTTTGTACATAAATTAGGCCGTTAGTTTTCTCGTTTGAATTGTTTTACATTGTCATTTCGGGGCCTTTTATAGCTGACTGTGCGGCATGGGCTTTGCTCATTGTTGAAGGCCGTACAGTGACCTTTAGTTGTTAATTTCTGTGTCATTTGGTCTCTTGTAGAGAGTTGTCTCATTGGCAATCATACCACATCTTCTTTTTATAAAGTTAGAGTATGGAAATGGCAAATTCAGCACTCAAGAAGTGAAAGTGATACCACCATAATTCAAACTTGACCTGTGTTTGGTGGTCATAACATTGAGTATAAGTTTCATAACATTTGGTTTAGGGAAACCCAAGTTTCAGAACAGAAACCAATTTCGGAATGTAAGTACTATGAGCACACAGACAAGGGTAAATCTAGCAGCTGGGGCATAAAAACACAAAAATTGGTAAACCAAATCATCATTTAAGGGCAGTTACTCTTTTATGGAGTTATCTGATAATTTTGGTGGTAAAATGAAAAGCAGGTAGATCCTGGCATTCTGGGCATTTTTGCCCTGTCATATTTAGTCTATTATTATGGTTTTCAAGATATTAGAAAATAAATGCATTTTACACAAATGTTCTATTTTTAGCTATGGTGACCATGTTGGTTGATTGGCAGGAACAACAACACAAACTTTATACAAGATACCATATTAGGATCATTCAGTTAATGTTGGTTGAAATTGTTCCAGTGTTTTTAGTGATGATTTAAATGAAATAAAAGAACAGAGTCCCAATGTCCCTTGCGTTGCACATCTTTTATCTATCCAAGGTACAAGGGCAATAACTGAAAAAAAACATTTTTTTTTGTTCTTATAAACTTTTTATCAATGTCTTAGAGAAATGAAGGGATTGTGCCTGATATTCATATGATGAAGACATAATCTTTCAACAGTTTAATTGAGGTCTGGAGCTGGCATGTCAGTAACTGCTGGTAGTCAGTTATTTATGTATTATTGTCATTTTGTTTATTTTCTTTTGTTTCCTATTCTGACATCGGACTTCTCTTATACTGAGTTTTACTGTGCGTACTGTTGTGCGTTTGTTTTTTCTTCATTGGCTTGAGGTATAGGGGGAGGGTTGAGATCTCAAAAAACATGTTTAAACCCGCCGCATTTTTGCGCCTGTCCCAAGTTAGGAGCATCTGGCCTTTGTTAGTCTTGTATCATTTTTAATTTTAGTTTCCTGTGTATAATTTGGAGTTAAGTATGACTTCCATTATCACTGAACTAGTATACTTATTTGTTTAGGGGCCAGCTGAAGGACGCCTCCAGGTGCGGGAGTTTCTCGCTGCATTGAAGACCCATTGGTGGCCTTCGGCTGTTGTCTGCTCTATGGTCGGGTTGTTGTCTCTGACACATTCCTCATTTCCATTCTCAATTTTATTCAGAGCAAATGCAATGCGATTTCCATTATAATTATTATTTCCAAGGGGTATAACTCTTTTAAAAATAATTGATCAGCACTGATTTTTGAACTGGTCAAAGACATTGATGATATGAAACTATAATGTAAATTTCATAAATATCTGGCAAGAATTGTACACATCAGACCGCTCATAAGGTAATTTTCCATATAATTAATATTTCCAAGGGGCATAACTCCTTGAAAAATTATTGATCGGCACTGATTTTCGAACTGGTTAAAGACATGGCTGATATAAACTTATGATTTCAGTTTCATAAAATTCTGGCAAGAATTTTACACATGAGAGCGCTAACAAAGCAATTTTCAACATAATTAATGTTTCCAAGGGGCATAACTCTTCAAAATAATTGACCAGCACTGACTTTCGAACTCGTCCAAGACATTGCTAATATAAACCTATGATATAAGTTTCATAAAAATCTGGCAAGAATTGAACACATGAGAGCGCTAACGATGCAATTTTCCATATAATTAATGTTTCCAAGGGGCACAACTCTTTTAAAAATAATTGATCTGCACTGATTTTCGAATTTGTCCAAGACATTGCTAATATAAACCTATAATATAAGTTTCATCAAAATCTTGCATGAATCAAACAAATGAGAGCGCTAAAGATGCAATTTTCCATATAATTAATGTATCCAAGGGGCATTACTCTTTTAAAAATAATTGATCAGTACTGATTTTCAAACTTGTGCAAGACATTGCTGATATAAATTTCATAAAAATCTGGCAAGAATTGAACACATGAGAGCGTTAATGATGAAATTTTCTATATAATTAATGTTTCTGAGGGGCCTAACTTTTACAAATAATTGATCAGCACTGATTTTTGGAAGAACGCACGGACGGACGCCTGGTATTTCTATGTCCCTTACAACCTGTTGCGTGGGGGACAAAAATGCCACATTTCCTAATTTTATATAAAAGGTCTTAACAATAATCTTTCTGGATTTTTGTGTTGTTGGATTACTGTTGTTGCAAGCATCTCCTTTTGTTCACATTAAATATGGTGGACATACCTGTACATCACTATGGAGATGCCAGACAAGTTCAATGTGAGATGTCTGTTTTCTTTTGCCTGTATCAAGTCAAATTATATTTTCACAATTTGTTATCTTGTTGTCTCTGCTTTTTGTTTGAAGGCCAATGTATATATAATATGTGAAAATAAGTAGCCAACCAAATTCCTTGATACACACATCATGTGTCAAAAACAATAAATGAACACAAAGAAAAACTAAATAATTATTATTAAAGTTCATCTGATTGAATAAATATTTGTAAATTTTTCTCTTCTCTTTGTAATTCAAACAACTGTCTGCACTAAGATTGCTGGAATTTTTAAACTGGTCAATTCACAACTGAAAAAGATTAAAAACTGTGCTATAACACAAAAATTCTTATTGATACTAAACATTAAATACTTCTGTTAGAAGATCTAGTGACTTTCAGATCGTTTGAAGTTTCTGCTCCACTACTGGCATCTGTCCTGTTGCTCATGGCAAGTAAACATCAAATGAAAAGTCTCAATTTATAACCCATTTCATGTTCCTTAAACAAATAAAATCATCCTATACTACCGGTAGTTCAATTGCTTAGCAAATTATTTCTTAATTAAAAACAAAAACTCATCTTATATAGCTATTAATCATGTAACGGTATCTGAGTCTCAATTAAAGTCTTATAAAAATTACATGTGGTATGATTGCAAATGAGACAACTCTTTACCAGAGACCAAAGTAAAAGTAAGCAACTATAGGACACCGCACGACCTTCAACAATAAACAAAACCCATACCGCATAGCAAGCTATAAAAGGCAATGAAATGACAGATGTAAAATATTTCAGACGATTCATTTAAGATGATACTAAGTTTGAACTATATTTCAGTAACTGCTAGTACTCTAAGCTGAGTCTAAGGTCAATACTTTGTGTCTTTAGTGTTTTTGTTATTAATTTTTGTACTTGGTAATGATCTGATGAGACAAGCCATTTCCAACTTGTTTTACAGATTGTTCTAATGTTATATATAAATGTGCTGTTAGATCACTGTTTCAGGTTAGGTGAAGGGTTTAACACCATCCAAAGTTAATAAACATGAACAAAAAAACTATATATTCTCTCTTCATCAAAGCTAACATACCCCTAAGTATCATGATTATGCTGTCATACAAGGCCTGAATCTTTCAATTTAGTGACTAAATCTTCCACACTTTCCACTTTTTGTCCTGCCTCTCTGACTGGGGGGTCCTCTACACTGACAATCTCCTGTCGTGAGGCCACATCTACTCCTAAATCTGACGGTGTCTTCTTTGCCATTGGTTTCTTCTTTGCTTTCTGTTAATAACAGACAATGAAACATAAAATTCGGGAGAGCTTTAACTGTCCTTTATTGATACCATTTTTTTTTCTTATACCGCAATAACTTAAATGGAAAAAATCGGCAGTGTCCTAATTCTCGTCCTCAATAAGTGTCTTGTTAAGTAAAATAAGAAAGTTTTCTCTAGATTGAAAAGCAAAGCCTCTAAACATATGCAGTATTACAGCAATTTTCAATGAAGGTGATTTGTCACTATCGTCCAGTTATTGTCCAGTATCATTAGCAAGTTGTGTTGTACAGCTAATATAGAGGATGAAACACAAATATCATTCAGTATGAACAAACAAAATATTGAAAACATATTTTATGTATAGTTGTTCAATTCTCAATTTTCTTATTAAAGAAGTATGGTCTAATTGCAGAAATAGTACCAAATAAACACTGGTACATGACAAAAAAAACCTTCCATTACAAGCAAGAAGAATTGTCACGTAAAGGTATTGGCTGTGAATTATTTAAAATTTGTTAATATACACTATAAGGTCAAGGAACAGTAAAGAGCTATGTCACTGATTTTGGTAAAATATAAATACAACTTTGGCTTGTTGAGCTATAACTGAAAATAAATAACATTTGGTTCAGGCAACTTAAGTTAGAGAACGGAAACTAAAATTTTGCATTTTTTTTCAATTTATAAAGGGCATAACTAGAGAATGGTTAGAGTGACCCCACCAAAATTCGAACTTGATCTGTATTTTGTGGTAATAAGCATTGTGTATAAGTTTCATAACATTTGGTTGAGGCAAACTTAAGTTAGAGAATGGGAACTAAAAATTTTGCAATTTTTCCATTTAAAAAAGGGGCATAACTCTAGAACGGTTTAAGAGACGCCACCAAAATTCAAACCTGATCTGTGTTTTGTGGTTATAAGCATTGTGTATAAGTTTCATAACATTTGGTTGAGACAAACTCAAGTTAGAGAACGGAAACCAATTTTGGGATGTACGGACGTACGTATGCACAAAAAATATTGCGATAGCATTACACTTATTTCAACATTTTGTGGTATTTTTTCACCTAGAACACTACTTTTAATGATGTATACGAAGTCAGTGATCCTATTATAATTTTACATAGTGTGTCTAACATCATGCACATATATAAAAATCAAACATTCTCACCATAATATTAGGTAACGTTGCATATCTTGGTTCATTTAATCGTAAGTCTGCTGTTAATACTGCTGGTAGTTTGACTTTGATTGTTTCTAAACCTCCATCTATTTCTCTAATTACTGTTAAATCACCATTATTCTTTTCTACTTTGGATGCAAATGTTGCCTACAAAAAAAATCCATTATGCTCTAGTTACTGAGAATATTCACTGGATATAAGTTACAGGCCTGCAAGTATACTGACTTACTACCTTCACAAATATGTGCAGGCCATAAATAAAATTCTTTATTTTTAAATTATAGGATCTGTTTGAAGCATACCAGATATTATAAGAGCTGCATGATTATTAGCAATGACATATAATATTAACTTTAAATAATGTTATAAGTAATTCAGACCTCTTTTTTATTAAGAAAGATGTTATTGTCTTCACAGTTAAATATCAAAAAATCTTTTTTTTAAATCAAATTAAATTTAGGACTTTGGATGAGATCAACTACATAACTCATTTCTCTCTTCTCTAAATTTATAATTAAAACTAAGGAATGTTCCTCATCTTTAATTTTATTTTGGTGCCATTTTATGCATACATTAGTTCATTTCTAAGTATACTTTTATATGAACTTATCTCTAACAAGAGGCTGTCAGAGGGACAGCAAACCGGATTTTCTTGCAGAGGTCGAACCCTGAACAGGTGAGTAAGTATGGACACAACATTTAAGCTTAAAACAGCCTTGAATTTGGATTGTGATTGAATATTTGACACAGAATAGGTTTGTGACACACAATGAATGTGGTCAAAGACCTGAAAAATTTGAAATCAGAAATTTACCTATTATGGTTCAATATCCAAAATCTAATAACATTGTTATCATCAGCATATCAAAGAACCCCAAGAATTCAATTTTTGAATTGTTGATGAAATCAAGCAAAAGTTTAATTTAGGACCCTTTGGACCTCAATGGGGTAGTATCTAAATAATAATGAAAATAAATACAGGTTTAGATTCAGCTTTTCAAAAAACCCTATATATATTCAATTCATGTTGAAATCAAACACAGTATAATTTGGACCCCGAATTGGACCAACTTGAAAACTGGGCCCAAAATCAGAAATCTAAATATATGTTTATTAATAGACAAACTAAGCTTAGTTTTTAAAGGAGTTTGCTTCAACAAAAAAATATATATATATAGCATTCAGAAAATAAGTTTATACAGAAAAACAAACAAACCAACCACAAAATTCTTCAAACAATTTACAAAAGAAAAGATGAAAAAAAATCCAAAATGTCATTTATCATTAGTACAATATCTATCAAAAATCTAAATAAATGTGGATAGTGTCCACATGTGGACACAGATAATGCCCCCACTTGCATATCATATAGTTATAAAGGGACATAACTGAAGAACGGTAAAAGTGACGCTACCCAAATTTGAACTTGATCTGAGTTTTGTGGTAATAAGCATTGTGTGTAAGTCTCATAACATTTGGTTGAGGCTAACTTAAGTAGAGAACAGAAACTAAAAATTCAGCAATTTTTCTATTTGTAAACACGCATAACTCTAGAACGGTTGTGTATAAGTTTTACAACATTTGGTTGAGACAAACTAAAAAATTCAGCAATTTTTATGTTTATAAAGGAACATAACTCAAGAATGGTAAAAGTGTTGCCACCTAATTTTGTACTTAATCTGTATTATGTAGTAATAAGCATTGTGTATCAGTTTCATAACATTTGGTTGAGGCAAACTCAACCAAATGTTATGAAACATGTTGCACATATTCTTCAATGGTTAGAGAACGGAAACAAAAAAATTGTACTTGATCTTTACTGAGTTTTGTGGTAATGAATATTGTGTATAGGTTTCACAATGTTTGGCTGGGGAAAACTTCAGTTACAGAATGGAAACTAAAAATTTTGCAATCTTTCGATTTATAAAGGGGCATAACTCAATAATGGTTAAAGTGACACTACCCAAATTCAACTTGATCTGTGTTTTATCAGTGGAAGTCAAAATTAAACATTGCATTGTATAAAGCATTGATTGTACTTGATTCAACTATAATCATGGTCAAAAGAAGATAACTCCAATTTTAAAAATATATTATAAACTTGATATTTAAAAGAAAATAAAAATTTTGCTATTTTTCTTTTTATAAAGGGACATAACTCTAGATCGGTTAAAGGGATGCCACCAAAATTCAAACTTGATCTGTGTTTTGTGGTAATAAGCATAGTGTATAAGTTTCATAACATTTGTTTGAGGCAAACTTAAGTTAGAGAACGGAAACTAAAAATTTGGGAATATTTCCTTTTATAAAGGGGCATAACTCTAGATCGGTAAAAGTGACGCCACCAAAATTCAAACTTGATCTGTGTTTTGTGGTAATAAGCATTGTGTATAAGTTTCATAACATTTGGTTGAGGCAAACTCAAGTTAGAGAACAGAAACCAATTTCGGGACGTATGGACGGACGTACGTACGTACAGACAGACAAGGGTAAAACTTAATGCCCCCTCCGCTATGGCGGGGGCATAAAAACTTATCTGTAATTATCTTCAAAATGTCTAATTATGAACAGTAAATTTCAAACTTTATTTATACTGTCCTACAGATCTTATCATCAACACTTAGGAAACAGAAAATTTTCCAATAAATCTGTCACTCCAATTATATTTGTGTGATAAGATATTTACCAGATGTTTTGTTATCTATTAACAGGTGAAAATTATTTAAAAACACTTAGTGTAATCAAACTTTATATATATAATTAATAGTTCCCAATATTTTTTCTTTCATTTGTCATAAACTAATATAGATCTGCAACGTATCTATCAATGTCAACAATTCTATCTACACAATGTAATGTAATGAAATATATCCTTTAATAAAAATAGATTATTATCTAATGAAAATAATATTTGCAAATCACAATTTCTGTTCAAAGGGAAATAACTCAATCATTTAATAAGTATATATTTGGACTTCTAAAAAGTCAAAAACCCAAAAACGAGAGAGGCTAAAATCATGAAAATTGAACTTGACCTTCATTTAGTCACAGGAAACAACAGATCAAAAATTCGTCAAAGCGTTTGCATGTTAATGAATGGACAATGTTTGGCAGCCGCCCACCCATCTGTCAGCCTGCCCGCTGTACATCCCCAAATTAATAACCCGATTTTTCCTTCGAAAACCCGGTTAAAATGATCTTCCTACTCATATGTAATAAGCATATTTATCTTCTAATTTCAATTTTTTTTCAGCAAAATCAGACCATTTCTACTCCAATATTGTTCTTCCCCAGGAATTAATGTGTGAGTACAATGTAGTTTGCAATCTTTTAGTGATTTGTTAGAATGCTAGTAATTTGACAAATATATTGTATTATATAATGGCTTAATAAAAGTCATAACATAAATAATATTACTTTTCATAGTTCATTAATTGAGAAGAACTATACTGTTTTATGCGATGAATGATGACTTTTTTACTTTTCAAAAATTTTAAATTGAAAAGAGAAAAATAAATTCATCTTTATATAGTGAGATTTCCTATGACAGAAATACAAAATAGATGTAACAAATTAAATTAAACATGGCACTTAGTCTGTTGAATGAAATTTGGCACTGTGTCAAAAATTTAAGTAACACTAGTTCAAAACATTTTCTGAACACTAATAAGTTAAACCACTTGACTACCGTAATCAGGCTTGTATAGTTCGCACTGGTACATAGTCCGCACCCCCTTCTCCCAAAGAAATTTCAGGTAAAAAAACTTTTTGTAACTGTTAGAAAAGGTCTAATGAAACTCCGGTAATTTTTAAAGATGTGTGGTCGTTTGCGGTATTTTCTTGGAAAAACCTATTTTCCATCACAAAACAGAAGCTAAAACTGCTTGTAAATGGTTCTAAAACACTTCACGCTGGTTAAAATAAACAACTTAAAAACTTGTGTATGTTTAAACCGGAAGTTTGAAAAGCACGTGTAAAAGATGAAAAAAAACCCGGTGAGAATCGAAATCCGTACATAATAGATATCACTATAATACGACTTTGAAAGTAAAACATTTCCTTCCTTATGTAAAACAGTGTTTAATATATCTATCACATTAATGTTTGAAGGGTCTTAAGATAATATAAAACATATTTGTCAATAGGAAACACCAAAACGGAACAAATAATAACCGATTACGTTTTGTAGTTTACACATCATGAGCTGGTTTACGGTTGTCTTTTTTTACTTTTTTTGTACGATTTCATTCAAGCAGATACCAGTTTATATTTAGCAATGCATTGAAAAGAAACGAGAATTTTGTAATGAAGCATTTAATTTTTAAATTTATCAGTATTAATTTGATATTGAATAAAAATAACTTATTAATATGGATTGGGTAAAATTATTGGTTTGAAAAATGATAAGAGCGCCCTCTACAATGTCAATAACAAACATGGCGGAACCTAAACAAACCACATCGCGAAATTGAAATTTTCTCTCTTATTGTACTCTATAGTCCGCACCCCTGCTGTCAGGGTCAATTTTGGAGAATAAAACCGCGGACTATACAAGCCTTTTAACGGTAAATAAAAATGTTTTTTGAGGGAGATGTCAATAAGACTAACAAATCTATACAGTTTGATAAGTTATCTAAGATCTTATACCAATAGTCTTAAGTTTAGCAGTGACAAATGTAACAAAATTTTATCTGTGGCAAATCTAACAAAAGTTTACATGTTGCAAATCAAACAAAAGTTTACATGTGGCAAATCTAACAAAAGTTTACCTGTGGCCAATCTAACAAAAGATTACCTGTGGCCAATCTAACAAAAGTTTACATGTTGCAAATCTAACAAAAGTTTACATGGGGCAAATCTAACAAAAGTTTACCTGTGGCCAATATAACAAAAGTTGAACTGTGGCCAATATAACAAAAGTTTAACTGTGGCCAATGTTAAAAAAGTTTACCTGTGGCCAATCTAACAAAAGTTTACCTGTGGCCAATATAACAAAAGTTTACATGTGGCCAATCTAACAAAAGTTTACCTGTGGCCAATCTAACAAAAAATTACCTGTGGCCAATCTAACAAAAGTTTACCTGTGGCCAATATAACAAAAGTTGAACTGTGGCCAATATAACAAAAGTTTAACTGTGGCCAATGTTAAAAAAGTTTACCTGTGGCCAATCTAACAAAAGTTTACCTGTGGCCAATATAACAAAAGTTTACATGTGGCCAATCTAACAAAAGTTTACCTGTGGCCAATCTAACAAAAAATTACCTGTGGCCAATCTAACAAAAATTTACCTGTGGCCAATATAACAAAAGTTTACATGTGGCCAATCTAACAAAAGTTTACCTGTGGCCAATCTAACAAAGCAGCTGTCATCTGTCCTGTTTGGTTACAGTCATCATCAATAGCCTGCAAAAATATAATATGTATCTAGTAATTCTAGTTATAATATAGTCATAAAATTGAGAATGGAAATGGGGAATATGTCAAAGAGACAACAACCCGTCCAAAGAGCAGACAACAGCCAAAGGCCACCAATGGGTCTTCAACGCAGCGAGAAAATCCCGCACCCAGAGGTGGTCCTCAGCTGGCCCCTAAATAAAATTGTGTACTAGTTCAGTGAAAATGGACGTCATACTAAACTCCAAAACATATAAATGAACTAAAATTAAAAAACATACAAGACTAACAAAGCCAGAGGCATTCTTCTGTCTCCCAATTACCTTAAATGCCATTCAACATTTAAATGCTGTAATTTCAAACAATCTGTTTAATATGAAGATCAAGATGTGATGTTGTCTTTTAAGTGTAAACGGTATCTATTGTTCCAATAAAAAAATTTGAGGAAAAACATATATTATAAAGTTTCTGATAAAACTGTTTCAAGACTAAAAACACATTTTTTTTTTTACTTGACACCACATAAGGCAGATTTAAAAAAAAAATTGTCGTAGCCTGAGGACACTCAAAATTTTGGTTGGCAAATTTGTTTTTGAAATCAGAATTTTTCAATAAAACACATAATCTTTTCGTAAGTAGTCAATTGATTTGGCATCTACTATGTTATTCTATATGTTAATTGGATACCTCCTAAGTCAAACCAATTTACTATACCACTCTATATGTTAATTGGATACTTCCTAAGTCAAACAGTAATTGGTTAATAAACAGTTTATAGTTGTCAGGAAATTGTTTACTGTAAATTTAGAAATTATTGCGATGTTTTTATTATTGCGAAAAATGCGACAGGGTTATAATCGCAATAATCTAAACTCGCAATTTGAAATTTTTTATATGAATTAAAACAGGATTTTTCTCAATATCGCTAAAATTAAAATCGCATTTTAGTCTAAGATGACAAAATTGCAATAATAAATGCACACAATGATTTCTGAATTTACAGTATATTATAAATTAGTTCTACAGCTCAAGCTTCTAATTAATTATGTTTCAAAACATAAAGAGTTTGTATGAGCCGTAGATTTAGTCAAAATTATTGTATTTAAGGAGCTCATGTTCAGAAATATTTTAGGACCTCCATAATTCAAATTCAGAATATCCATAAATCATTGAGGACCTCCATAATTCGATTTCAGGACCTCCATCATTAGATATTTCAATTATTGAGGTCCTGGAATATTTCAGGAGGTCCTCAATGATTTATGGATATTCTGAATTTTGAATTATGGAGGCGCTGAAATGTTTCTAAGCCCTCCTTAAATACAAAAATTTTGAATAAATCTGCACCTCATATCTTAGCTGTGGAATGAAACTGAAACAAAAAAGAAGAAAATCAAGGTGACAAGAGAAATTCCCACAGAATCAAACTGGCACTTTTATCTCATGGAGTTATAATTCAATCAATCAAGCCACAGAAATTTGGCAAAATATATTATATTCTGTTTAGTATGGCTATACTGTATCACAGGTAGATATCTCTCAAGATGAAGAACAGGAATTTTGTCCCATGTACATTTACTCCATAACCTTTCATTTTCTTTCTATCAATGAATATATCTTTATATACAATAATCCAATACAAAGTTATCTAAGGGTTGTTTACCTGTTTTCCAACTATTACTATGTCAGCTTTTTCATCCTGTGCAAGTTTGGCTAAGAATTTGGAAACATGTATTGGTTGTAAAGTTTCATAATCTTTAGGATCAATGTCTACATGTATGGCTCTGTCCGCTCCCATGGCTAATGCTGTTCTTAGGGTTTCCTGAAATAAATATTTAAAAGTTAAGTCCATCAATAATTCAAGCATGTTAATCTGCAATAGGCATTCTTATCAACTTTTTAGTCCATCATTATTAATTTTAAGAAATTTTAAAATTTGCAGAGATCTAAATATGAAATCAAATAATTTTATGCAATCTGTGAATCCTATTTCAATTTTGTAATGTATATTGGAATTGTGTAAAGTTATCAAAGATGTCAGGCTTTTTTATATAGATTAGACCCTTGATTTTCCTGTTTGAATTGTTTTACACTAGTCATTTTGGGGCCCTTCATAGCTTGCTGTTCGGTGTGAGCCAAGGCTCCGTGTTGAAGGCCGTACTTTGACCTATATTTGTTAACATTTTATACATTGTGACTTGGATGGAGAGTTGTCTCATTGGCACTCATACCACATCTTCTTATTTATATTATGTTAAAATTTTGGTAAGCCAGACTCCCGTTAAGTCTACACAAGACTAGTTAGTGTAGTAAGACAGACTCCCGTTACATCTACACAAGACTAGTTAGTGTAGTAAGCCAGACTCCCGTTACGTCTACACAAGACTAGTTAGTGGTGATCAAATCAAAACAATAGGAAGGTCAAATCAACTAGGAATTTGTAGAGTATTTGAAAACGAAAATTCCTAAATTTTGTGAAATATAATTTTTTGAACAAAGTTACATGTGTAACTCTCTATTGATAAAAATTCTAATTTTTAACAGCTTTTGACTTGGATAACAGTGAAGTATAACTATTCATTTATTTGTGTGGTATAAATTTCCTTCATAGATCACATGGTTCAATAAACTTCAAATCCCTATGGGTGTATTTTACCAATTAATTTTACATGAATCATCATTGAAAAATCAATTATAAGAACATAATGGATCATAAAGATTTAAGACAACACCAATAGACGCTTTCAGTTTTACACCTACATGTATATTTCAAATTCTGTTGCAAAAAATTACCAGTGTGTAAACTGCAAACATTTTGAACATTGTAAGAAAATATGTGATTGATTGATTGTTGTTTTAATACATATACAACCAGTGGCAAGGAAAATCTTTGTATTAATAATTCTTATGAAGGATATGGCAGATTCCTTATAAGAAAGTGAAACAACTCCCATAAGCACTTTAGGCAAAAATCATAAGCAATGAACTTCTGTTTTTGAATACATGCTTTACTAATAAAGATAAAGACAATTTGACCAAAAAAAAAATTATGAGCATCATCCTTTTTAAATAAACGAAGCCTTAAATATCATGTTTCTGACATAAGATTTGACAGACTTTATTGTTTCTGACATAAGATTTGACAGACTTTATTTTTTCTGACATAAGATTTGACAGACTTTATTATTTCTGACATAAGATTTGACAGACTTTATTTTTTCTGACATAAGATTTGACAGACTTTTTTATTTCTGACATAAGATTTGACAGACAAATTGAGTTTCTGACATAAGATTTTGACAGACTTGATTCTGACATAAGATTTTTTATACATAAGATATTTTGACAGACAATATATATTTGTTTTTTTTTGACTGACATTGGAAATCAAATCCTAGTTGAAAGTAATTTTTAAAACTCCTGGAGAATACTGCAGCCTAACATCTAACAAGATTTCACTACAGGTCAAAGAACTTTAACTGTTAGCACATTCAAATGTTTCAGACATAAGAAAACAAGTTTGACAGATCTTATGTAGGAAACATATAAGTTAAAACTATTGCTTGAATAAAGTTAAATGAAAGAATCAACATGTGTTTTTTCTTATGCCCAGCATGACTTACAGTTTTAACTGGCATATATTGGAACCTACAATGATTTTGAAAGTTTTTACAGCGATGTTCCTGACATAAGATTTATTGACAGACACTGAGCTATAAAGCAAGATATTTGAAAGTGAAAAAAAATATATATCACAGATGTTTTTGACTAAAAAAAGTAACAAATTTGGGAACAGGGATGTTTGAATAACCAGACTACACTAGTAAATACCAGTATACAAGTGTCAACATAAAGCATTGCAACACATAAACATTGTGTAAAAAAATGGGAGTTAATTCTGTCAAAATTTTTGCATTTTATCAACTTGTTTTAATCATTTCTACTTTAAACGGAAACAATCATATCCAAAAATTATTTTTATAATTTCTTCTAACATCATTATTCCTCAAAACATTCACAGATTATCTTTAAAATAACAGTAATAATTATTTTTATTTATTTATTCATTTTGACAGACATTTCAATTTCTTATATGGAATCTGCCATATATTATAAAATAAAGACATAGAACTTAGTTTAGTACATTTTGTGAAGAGTAACATGTCAATTTCTGTCCTTAACCAGTACTAATCCTTTCCACAAATTGATAAACAGGAATAAATAAAAAATATTTATTGTTTTTGTTCAATAAGTTGTATGGATGAATTGTAAGCTGCAAAATCAGGGGAAATAACTTTCACAAGGCAATTATCTGTTATTTCGCATGAGAAATCCAGATGTACAGATCGGTTTAATAAAATTATTATCATTTATTGTCATTTTAACATCTCTTAATACACTGCAACATAGCAATGTTAAATATGTAGTGTTATAATAATTATGCATGATAATTTTATTTGACCTGATTCTTATGTAAACAGACCTGACATTGCTGTGGTCCACATGACACAGCTATTACTTCTGATGCTATTTTCTTTTCTTTAAGTCTAACAGCTTCTTCTATAGCTATTTCATCGAATGGGTTCATACTATGTTTGACTCCATCGGTTACCACACCAGTTTTATCTGGTTTCACCCGAATCTGTTCAAAATGAAAATAGAATCTTTGACAGTTATCATACATATGAAATGTAAATTACAAATTTTATCTGGCTAACATAACTTTCATACTTAATATATAAAATCACTGTATAAATGTTCAATCAAAACAATGTACATGTATGTACTCGATGGGGGAAGTGGAGAGTGTCTTAACAGTGAATATTTTCTGGTAAAAACTCTTTCCTTTTAGAAGAAATACACAAGATAAGTGTAAATATTAACTCTGAAACGGTTAAGAGTTAAAACGATGAAAATTGAATTCAACCTGTGTTATTGGTCCAAAACATTCCATTAAATTTCAATGAATTCCAAAAAGGGATTCACCATTTATCATCAAGAAACCAAAATGATTTGTTTTTTTTCCAACAATCAAGTACCGTAACTTCAGAATTGTTAAAGTGAAAACTACGAACACTCAACTTAACTTGTCCTTAGTGATTCAAAACATACGTTAAAATAACAATTACCTTCAAAAAGAGGTTCCCTATATCATCTGGACGCCAAAAAATAGTGATAGACCGACAAGAGGATTTCTATGTACCCCCCACTCTGTAGAGCGGGGCAAAATAAAAAAGAAACAACAGAGGAGCGACCTTTTTCAATAATAACTCTCTGGTCCCAACAACTGCATCTAGCAGTTTGACCTATGGAAATAAACTGCTTCGCTGAGCGCAGCTGGATACGCCCACAGAGGTCCAAACCTGAACAGTTGGGGCAAAAATGGACACAATATTCAAGCTCGATACAGGTCTGAATTTGGATTGTGATTAAATATTTGACATATTATAGGTTTCTGAATAAATGTAGTCTAAGAACTTGAAATTGGTTATATGAATTGAATTTATATTCAATTAAAGATTTCTTGCTGTTGTGCAATACACTGTGCTGTTGTGCAATACTTAGTAAACTGTTGTCAGACTAAAAACAAACAATAACTTCTCAATGTTATATCAGAAATTTATAAAAAAACTATAGGGAGGTTATCTTAATAGATATAAATCAGTCATCAAAGTTTAATGAAAACTGCTCTAAGCACTTTAAGGATATTGTCCAAAAACTTGAAAATCAACCTTTTTTTTTATGAATAAAGTCTTATAACTCAAAAACGTAAAATCTTGAGTTTATAAAAATCAAAAGGGAGCTTACAACAATAGATATAAACAATTCACCAAAGTTTCATAAAAAATGCTGAAAGCGTTTATGAGTTATTGTCCGAAAACTGGAAAATCCCCCTTTTTGTAATGAATAAAACCCCATAAATCGGAAACGTATGGTCTAAAATTTATAAAAATCAAAAGGGAGCTCATGTCAATAGAAATAAACAACTCACCAAAGTTTCTTGCAAATTAGGGAAATTGTTTTTGAGTTATTGTCCACAAACATGAAAATCCCCCTTTTTTAATGAATAAAACCCCAAAACTTGGAAACTGTAAATCCGAAATTTATAAAAAACGAAAGGGAGCTCACGTCAATAGATATAAACAATTCACCAAAGTTTCATGCATATTGGTTAAAGCGTTTTTGAGTTAATGTCCGACATGATGATGACGGACGGACAGACGGAAGAACAGACAGTCAACGGTATACCATAATACGTCCCGTAAACTGGCTTATAAAAATTGCAATAACAAGCTGTTTGTAGTTGAGAAATCTATATCAATTCTAGGGAAATTGGTTATGAAAACAATTCAAATCTTTTATTAATTGAAATTGGAAATGATTCAGGTTTTGGCACTCACCTCTGATCAGACTTGAAATAAGGTGGCCATAATTTATTGGATAAAGCATTGTGCAATCCAAGTGTAAAACATACATGAAATAATTACATGATATACATAATGATTTTGATGGCTTTATAAAGTTTTTGGTTGGATTTTCTTAATTAACGAATTGTACATTATGGTAACAGATCCAACACTGCATGATTAGGGCTTAACTACATATATTTAAATGTATGCATACCTCAAAACTAAATTTTTCAAAAATATTTGATCTGAAGTCAAAATAAAAAAATAGGTTTTCCTGGCATTAGTTTGTTGTGCTTGAAAATAATGAAATTGATAATGCAGGATTTTGCATCGCTGATATCAGAGTTGGTGGGGCCCTTGATGAATCCTAGAATCCTCTGCCATAAACCTACATCTACAAAGTTTCAGTTTCTGTCGGGTAGAACATGAAGATTCTGCCATGTAAGAATTTTTTTTCTTGCAAGTTCTGTTTGCAGGAGAAGACCAAAGTAAGTTACCTGTGTGCTGTGATCCAATGGAAATAACTTTATACAAGTGAACTTTAAATTTTAAACTTTAAAAAGTTGGCCAAGGGTTCAAATTTACTTTAAGCAATGCAAGGTCCAGGACCTTTGACCAAAGATACTTAAAAGGTCCTCCATTATTCTTACATGGTCCAATTTTTATCGGAAATTCAATTTATAAAAACAAAAAATGGTGACCATGACAAAACACCCATCATATCTTACTACATTAAACTCATTTTTTTCTAAATTTCTTAAATAAATTCAGTTAGAAAAAGGCTTCCCCTTATTTCAACACTATATGCTGTGTTAAATAACACTGTTTACTCTTATAATTGGTTTTGTTTCTATTGCTGCTTAAGAACACTTGCCTAACTTTGTGTCAAAATATGATTTATTATTATGTTCTCAAGTTTCCCTGGATCTTGTACGACGACCGGTCACATGACTAAATATCAAATCAATTGTGAAGAATTTAAACAAATACATGAGTTTCCTTTCAGTAAAATTACATATTTCAAGATAATTTTTATTCTTGATTTCATATATTTTTGTTCAAAATGCTTTTGTAACTTTTTAACATGCAAAAATACGAAAGTTAGTCTAGTGTACCTAACTACCGGTATTGGGTCCGTTCGCTCCCAATACACGTTTGCACCCTACATGCTCCCACCCCACACGTTTGCCCCCTGGGTTTGTTCCCACCCTATTTCTATTTAAATAATGGTTGAATTATTAGATAGTATTTTTTAGATGTATTTATCAAAATATTTAAATTTTCATGAATAAATATTCGGGAATTTTTAAATGAAATATTGTTCTGTGTTTGAAAATATTGATTGTTGTTATAACTAGCTTTGGTGTAAATATGCATGTTGTTAGCTTAGTATGAGTAAACTCAATGAAGAATTGGTATCTTCCGCCTTTCTTTTACATATCTTAGATGCATGAACTTTGCCTGGATCATCACTGGGACATATTATGTATAATAGTCCCAGATCATCATGACAATTTTTTATTCATTATTTATTTCGTCAAAATAATTAATAAAAACACTTTAAGAAACCTGTTTACGTTTTTATAATGTCACTTTATGTTGAAACAACAAAAAAAAAAACCTTATCTATAGCAATATACCAACTTAAACACGATTAGATAAGTATTCCACAATACCAATAAAAGGTTCTTATAGACCCAGGTTGCGAACTTGTGGGTGCGAACATGATTTTGGGCAAACGGACCTGGATTATCCTAACTATTGGTGGGAAGGTCCGAACCCATTAAATAATTAAACATCACGGACCTCGGACCACTGCTAATTTGAACCCTTGAATTGGCATGGTCGCAAAGAGATCCTGTTCCAGTGTTTTTGTGTACACTTCATTTTAGGTCATCATGGTCATAGCTACATTTTTCATGCCACCGAGTTATGACTTATGAGACTTTTGTTATGACATCAGGTCATGTCATTTCATTACTTTATCTTATTTACTTTGAACTTTAAGCTCATTTATGAAATGAATGTCGCCAACTAAGTAATGTTAGATAAGCTCTAAAAAGATAAAGCCTTAAAGCCTAAAGGTTAAAACAATGATACATTTTTTAAAAGACGCTTGTTTCATATGATTATTAATGTATTTCGTAAAAAAATGTCCTGCCTATTTAGACTGATATAGAAGTTCACCAAGGATGACAAAATCTTACTTTAACAGCATAATCTATAACTCGTTTACAACCAACTAACACTCTCAGTGCTGACATTTTGACCTTTGAACTGGGAGAAATTATTATTCCAATGGCGAAAACGTAATTTTTTATTGTTATGGATTAACAGTCATTCTATTTACACAGTTAAAAATAAAGTTATTTGAATTTTTACTAAACTTTAACATACCAACGAAACTAAAGCTCGAAAAAGAAAAATCTAGTTAAAAACAATCGAATAATAAGTTATCCCTTTATATAACTTTTGTGGTTTTCAAAGACAGAAGAGCTTGGAAAAGAATCATGTAAAAAAATGTAAAATGTTGATAAAAAAAACTGCTTCAAAAACAATTTTCGAATTTAATGAAGAAAAAAAAAAATTCAATATCATACCGGAATATGATTTTTGTGAACTCAAAGTTTATTTTCCCCATTACTTTCACTTTCTACACTACAGTTTTTTGTTAAGAAATTTAGAATCAAATAATAAGAATTGGAATGTGGATTGCATATTATCCCTAGAATTAATATAGAATTACCTTCAAAAAGTGGTTCCCTATATCATCTGGACGCCAAAAAATAGTGATAGACCGACATGAGGATCGATTTCTGCATACCCCTACTCTGTCGGTCGGGGCAAAATATAAAAGGAACAACAGAGGAGCATAAATTCTTATATTGCCCTGCTCGACAGAGTGGGGTACGTGGGGTACATAGAAATCCTCATGTCAGTCTGTCACAAAAGGGAACCACTTTTTGAAGGTAATTCTATATCAATTCTAGGGATATTATGCAATCCACATTCCAATTCTTATTATTTAAAAAAAAACCCATGCAAAGACTATAACCCAGAATTGGTTTGAAAATGTTGCAACTATATTTTTGTAAATAAGGAGATGTGGTTTGATTGCCACTGAGTTGTGAGATAAGTATCAAACAAAGACCAAAGGACATTAGGATGTAAAACAGCTACAGGTCATAGTTCAGCCTTCAACAGTGAGCAAAACTAATACCTTCTAGTGATTATTATAACAAAAAGTGTCTTTCATCCTACTGTGTTGCTTGTTTTCATTGAAAATAAAGAACAAAAATGGAGTGGCAACTTTAAATTGAGATAACTTTTTGAACAGACTTACAATACTGAATAGTAACACGAAGAGTTAATCATGCATATTTTCATATAGCCTGCTCAGCTCATTTGTTATAAAATATAGAATTTATTTACATAAATTGAATGCTTTTATGCTGTAAAAATCTTTTGTTTACTTAAGTCATATAAGTATTTAATCATTTTAAAATTATTAATTGGAATGTGGATTGCATAATATCCCCCACAAAACATCATTCACTGTCCTTGCAGTAAGGTCACCTAAGAACTATATGACATCCTTTTTATTAAATTTTTCAATGGCATCCTTGTCTAAAATCTCATTCAAGTCATATGTAGGAGAGGAGTGAATAAAACAGAAAAAATATCCAGTTGTGAATGAAAAAAAAACCCTACTTTTTACATTTATAATCAGATAAACCATCCTTTAAAATTTGACACTTTTTGCTATTTTACATTATTTTATATAATAAGTTCCATCAAAATAACTGTTATTACCACAAGGGTACTTTGATAAAAAATAAAATAAAATTCAAGTTTTCTAACTAATAATTTAAGTGGAAAATATTATATCATCATTTCCAAATCTCAAAGGAAAGCCTGGATGTGATATTTTGCTATAATCATGATAATGCTTTAATACGAGACCTTCCACATCTTATCTGGGTATGTTTTGATTAGTTCTGATGAATAGGATGACCCATTAGAATATAAATCTCTCAATAACTCTGTAAATCTGTTTTCTAGAGGATATATTTTTTGTTTTAATTACCACTGGTACTATGTTTTAAAGTTTGATGTTGTATGGAATAACTAAGTTCTTTTAAAAGTGTTAACATACAAGTAACAACATTCAATTAAAATCTTATTTTTTTAAGATTTACATTTCAATTTTTTAGTATTTTAAATTTTTGTCCATTTCTTGCATATTTTGTGTGTTTTAGGTATCTAGGTGTTGGTGCAGATTGGAAACCAAAGAATAAGAATTGATAATGTCAGGGAGCTTATTTGGAAAGATTGCTTTCTATCCAACATTATATTATAACATATTTATGACAAAGATAACAAGCCAAAAATGGTACAACAGAATTGATGAAACAGTTGTATTGGGTGCTCTCCCCTTGAAGGAATACAGTAAAAAGGTATTTATCAGTCATACTAGGTAGTCTCCCCTTGAAGGAATACAGTAGAAAAAGTTTTTTTTCAACTCAAATTATTCAGGCCCTTACCATATCCGAATCTTTTCGCCTTTAATGTAGTGATCATAGTGAGTGGAATATAATGACTGGATTATTTGGGCTAGCTATTTATCAGTCCTACTAGGTGCTCTCCTTGAATAAGTTTTGTAGAAAGGCATTTATCAAAAACAGTCATATTGATTTCGCTCTCTTTGAGGAATATGTTAAAAAAAATAAATGGAGAATGTGTCCATGGGACACAGATGATGCCCCCGCTTGCATATAACGTTATAAAGGGGCATAACTCGAGAACGGTAAAAGTGACTCCATCAAAATTCGAACTTGATCTGTATTTTGTGGCAATAAGCATTGTGTATAAGTTTTATAACAATCGGTTGAGGCAAACTAAAGTTAGATAGATATAAGAAGATGTGGTATGAGTGCCAATGAGACAACTCTCCATCCAAATCAAAATTTATGAAAGTAAACCATTATAGGTCAAAGTACAGTCTTCAACACGAACCCTTGGCTCACACCAAACAGCCAGCTATATTAGAGAATGGAAACCCAATTTTGGGACGTACGTATGGACAGACAAGGGTAACACTTAATGCCCCATCCATCACCAGAGGGGGCATAAAAATGTTTACACATCTAGAGCCATCTGGGCCATTGAGCAAAGGTATAATAAAGCCCAATAACAAAAAAAATACAGCTTCTGAACACTGAATTGACATGTGAGGAACAGGAAAAGAGACAATATGCCAACATCCATGAGAATATCTTAAAAAGGCATCATCTGTACTGTATCAATTTACTTTCTTCAGGGGAGGTGATATATATACAGGGTAGATAATTTGAAACTTGTTTATGTCTGATTTTAACTAGTTTTGTTTATCATGATGTTGTTATAAAATATTCTTTATATCACAGGACTTAAAATCTATAAAAATTATAATTGTACAAAATAACACATCAAATTAGATACAAAAGAAATCTGTTGTTGCTTTAAAATGAAACTGAAATATTTGTTTTTTTTCCATAATTGTTAGTTATTCCATTCTGCATTTAAAATTTAGCAAGAGACATCTTTAAACTTTGCTGTAAAAGTAAAAGTAAATTATCAACAAAATATGAGGCAATAATTGGGGAAATCATTTTCAAATGCAATTTTAAGATTTTTCTCTAAAGGACACCATAACATATTTTTTATGAATTTATTTTAAAATTCACAATGTAATCTGACTAATGTAAATATATTATAGAAATGACAATACAAGAAATTTGTAAAACTGCTCACATTTTGCATGCTTTATGAAAATTCAATCAAGTTTTGAAATGAATAAATGAACAAATACTGCTAACATGTAATTTAAGTTTTGGCTTATGCACTTTTAGGAGTTTTCATTATAGATCAAACCATTTGGCAAATTTATTACTACAAATATCAGTAAAAAAAATCTCAAAGGTGAAAATAATTCAACAAAATTAAAAAAATATCTCATTTTTTCAACAACAAAAAAGCACAGTTACATGCACCTATGTTTCATTTTGTTATTTTTCAAAAATTTATAAATCTCCATCTACAACATATCTCAAAGTTATGAAAATGACAAAACAATTATAATCTATATTGTTTCCCCTTAATTTTGCACACAATTGTTGCTATATGAGCTCCCTTCATTTGTGTTGGATTTGCCAGTCTGATGTAAAATAAGTTATAAACATTGGGCTGTACAGTATGGTTAATCAAAAAGTTGTGTTCAGTGTTTTGTCCTTGGAAGACTACAATAAAAAATAATAAAAAGGCATGTACATTTGTAATAACTTTTCTGAAAAATTACTGTTGTTGTAATATATAAATTAAGTAATGTTTTGTTGGGCAAAATTTGATTGATTTAAGAGTTTCTCGAGTTTTCTCCCTTTGTAAATATACAATTAGAATTAATAATGGAATAACTAAATGTACAATGAAATTAGTCTAGAAAATAATTGCAAATTTGACTCAGACACTTTTCATCCAATTGTATGAGCACTTTGTGGGCAGGTCAGCACCCTTTCATCGAATATGCATTGATACACACCTTCATTTATTTTATACAGATTGTTGAAGATGAGAATATTAAAGGTGTGATCAGTTTGAATGAAGACTGGGAAATGAAAGGAATGATTCCAACAGAAAAGGTATGATTTATCAGTTCAACATTCTTACTTTTATATCAGTATATCTGGAATTATTCAGAACTACCTTTGCATTTCACTGTTAAGTACAACTGCAATTATTTGGGAGAGTGTTGTGTCTGACTGAGAAACATGTTTGATATTTAGACTTTTGTCAGAAATTATTCAGAACTTTTTTGACTAATAACTAAAATGTCCTGTTTTGAATTAGTAAAAGAGTCCAAATTAAGTGTTCTTAATGCATAGAATAAGAAAAAAGAAAATGATAATAAAGAGTGTCCTGCAAAAAAAAAGCCAGTCATTTATTTTTTGCTCAGTTTTATTTTTATTCAGTAAATGTTCAGCCCTATGTGATTAAAATTTTTTTTTATTTCAACAATTATACCATTCATTAATAATTTACTGCTGACCATAACAGCTGTTGTACTGTGGTTACATATTTGTATCATTAGGATTACAAAACAGGAAATGTGTCAGGTACAGATTTAGAAGAGCTCTTGGTTATCACCTCCTGCAATTAACTTTTCTAAAAACTGTACATTTTAATTATGACAATTGACTTTTATACACTGAAATGGAAGAATTTTGGTGTAGAACTATTGTTACATTTTATTTTACTGTTGCTTCATATTTTTTTTTTCTGTTTACCAATTTTCGTGGATTGAGGAAAAATTGTGTAATTTCAGCAAAACTTGATTTCATGGTTTTTCCAAAATCTGCATTCAAGCCTACAGGAGATTTGTACTTCATTGAACATTTAAATTCGTTGTTTACCTATACCCAGGAAATCTTTGAAAATTGGAATTCTATGAATTATAATGAATCTACAGTAACCAATTGACTTTTATACATAGGAATGGAAGGATCTTGGTGTAGAGCAGTTATTGTTACAGACAGTAGATTATGTAGGAACACCTACCCAGGAGAATATTAACAAAGCTGTTCGTTTTATTATGAATTATAGAAAGAGAGAAGAGAGTGTATATGTCCACTGTAAAGCTGGCAGAACCAGAAGTACAACTATAGTAGCATGTTATTTAGTTTATGTAAGTGGGAATTAATATTGTGTATTGAGCACTGCTTAAAACAATATTTTGTTTTGAGCACTGGCCTCTGCTGAAAATGATATTTTGTTTTGAACACTTCTTAAAATGATATTTTGTATTGAACACTGCTTAAATTAATATTTTGTATTGAACACTGCTTAAAATGATATTTTGTATTGAGCACTGCTTCAAAGGATATTTTGCTTTGAGCACTGCTTAAAATGATATTTTGTTTTGAGCACTGCTTAAAATAATATTTTGTATTAGCACTGCTAAAAAAATATTTCAAGAGTAGCATGCATTTCAAAAGCATTCAGGTAAATGCACCATGTCTGAAATCGAAAGGTATTTAACTTTATAAACTATTTATGAATTAATTGAAGTAGACATACTGGCCTATTTAAGGTATATAGCTTAACCAAATATAACAGGGAGGTAATTATAACTACTTCAGTTTAAGCTGTTTCTAGATTTATGTACAATTGACACTTAGTAAAATAATCATGAAAGAGAGACACAAGCACTTTAGAACAGATTTAACTTATAGTTTTTTACTTAAATCACTAAATAATTTAATTTTGATGTAACACCTCTTCTGATTGGCTGACGTTGTTTTGTTTATCAGCTCATAGACATAATTTTGTCATGTGACCGTGACGTCATCAACGTTTTTTCATGGTTTGCTCCGGTTTAAAATGGAATTTAGAATTAAATTATAAGAAATGACTGTAATATTTTTTCTGTCTATTCGAAATAACATAAAAAATGTGGTGCACACTTTAAAATAACCCGCTATGCGGGTTATTCAGTGTGCACCACATTTTTGATGTTATTTCTTCATAGACAGAAAAAATATTACAGTCATTCCTTAAATGTATGTCCAATTATCTCCCCTTATTGACATTTATATTAGAAAATTTAGTTAGACTACACTGAAGCTTTACTTGATTCACCTGATATTCCCAAATGCCTTTCCTGACTTATATATGTATTTTTTTTTTGTTTTTCACTATTTTATAATTTATCTGCTAAAAAAGGGGGACATTACAGTTCAAAACAGCATAATCAACATACTGTTTTACAGCTACCTGTGTTTTTGAGGACTATACTAGAATATTATTAAGTGCCTTTTAAGGATTGATTTTGCTCTTTAATTTTTATCATTTAATTCATTGTTCTTCCACCGACTGAGAAATAAAATGAATGTGTCGTTGCACCACCTTTTTCAAAACGTTTTCATTTTTGAATTCAGGAAGTAATGCATGCATTTATTATTGTGAATAGCCGATTACTGGAAAAATGCAAAATCAAATTAATGCAATTCCAAAATTTTGTAAAGGAATTCACTACTGAAATTATGAATGCGAATTTTTATTATTTCGAACCTGATATTTTTCGCTTAAATAAAAACTTCCCAATAATTTCTGAATTTACAGTGAGTGTTCATGTTTTATCCTTTTTATTTGTTAATAACTGTCTAGATTCAGAGCAATGTTATGTCTAAATATGATTGACTTATGTAGTTGTGTTACTGTCTCATTTATGTCATAAAGTTAAATAATTTGCCATCTTTCTATTGTAGGCAAATAAATGGACACCTGAAGAAGCTGTAGAATTTATCAAAACTAAGAGATCTCATGTGTGGTTACGAGATAAACAAATTAAGTCTATTCATACTTATTTTGAAAACCTGAACACATTTTCGGAAAATACAGCAGGATCTTGATATTGCATGATCAATTTATCTGATAATTTCTATGGACAGTTTATTGTGTGTTGTTGGTCAAGATTAGAATTCATAATTCTCTTTGCTGATGTTGGCAGATTTTATTACATTTGCAGAATTATTAATGCTGAAATATGTTATCATGTTATGTATGAACTGATTTTAGAGTGTTACGTTTATCTTGCCTGTGATGATCGAATTATGATTAATGTTTGAAATTGAGTTCAACTCTATTTAGCTGAAGGCTTAGAATAGAATTCATTTCAAATTTGTTATTAATGTTGGCATTTGGTTCAGAATTATTGACTGCTAACTGAATAATTTTTTTTTAAAGCTATTCTGTTAAAGAGTTTTAAGGAAACAAATAATGAAGAAAAATGGAAAATAAAATCGTGAAATTAGAAGATATTTATAATCTTTATCAATTAGTCATACTTTGAACAAAAAGTGTGCAAATTTAAATCATTAATAAAAAGAAAAATATGTTCTTGCATTCTCAGATACTGGAAAGGGAGGTTACTCACACATTGAAAGAACCAAGGCAACATTTATAACTTAATGTTCAAACTAGGCATTTACTCTAGTATTGTAGCTATTGAATTATTCAAAATTCTACATACACATTTTTGTACAAGTTATTGTTGAAATATCATGTAATTATAGTGGAGATTTACTTTTATATTGAGTATTGTTAGTGTGCTTACCTGTGATTTTATCACCTATTACACCAAATATCTTTATGTTAATTTATACTGATTTTTATAGGCAATGTTATTGTATGAAAATGGAATGTTGTGAAACAAAGCCTTTAGAATTATTAGTGCAATGAATAAAGCCAAAGTATTTTTTTTTATTGCTTTTATTTATTGGTTATTAAAGTTCCCTTTTACATATTTCCAAATAATGTGAAGATCAGAAGTTCTTATAGATAAGTTTTGAATGACGTAATTTGAGTTTGAGTTATTTCTCTTGGCTGCCATTTTGGAGGGGTCAACTGTTGATTTTCCTATTTGACTAACCAAATATGAAACATGTGATACACACAATTCTGACAAGAGATCCTTACTAAGTCTTAGTGATTCAGTGGATGTAGTTAAAGAAATAAAAATAGTTCAGAAAAGCTCTTTTTTTTAAAGTCAAGCGGTCAGTATAACAAGTTGAATTTGGCTGATTAATGAAGGAATTTGGGCACTAAGCCCTCCAACATGGTGACAAAAGGGAAGTCACTCTTGTTCAATTTGTGTCAATCAAAACCTATCAATATGATAATTTAAGCATAACATCAGATACAATTTGTATATGAACTGGTCCAAATGCAAGTATTTATATAGGGAGAAATGATATGGGGATCATAGAAAATAACTTCATGTAATACTAGAAAATAACCACATTGATGAAAACTATGGTCTGCTTTGTAGTTGTCTCATATTTTAGATCTGCCCGTATACTATGAATAAAAGCAACATGACAAAAAAAAAATTTGCCAGAGGTCAACATGCAGTCATCAACAATAGATAAGTGTTTATACACTATGTTAAGGTCTAAAGAGATCTGGCTCTAGAAAATTTGTGAACATAAATATCAAATTCTGCCAAAGACAAATACATGTACTTTAACTCTTTGACTAACTTTGATTTACCATGAGATGACAAGATCAACTTAAATATTTACTGTAAGTTTTATCAATTAAACTGTGAGGTCGAGGTCATGTTTTATCTGTCAAGATAACAATTAAAAAAAAATCCTCATACCAAATTTGCCTTGTACTGATTACTGAAATATCTGAATTAGTCATGACAGTCTAGATCTGAATAATAAAGAAAAGTTGAAGTGTAATGTCAGACTTGTACTCCATCAAATGACTTTACATACCAATTATTATTGACTTGCTTTATATATTTTCTGAGGACAGATCAAATGCAAAATTTTCAACCTGATCAATGGAGTTTAAAAATCAGGTCAAGGCCACAAACTTATATGTTTCATATGGACATAAACTAGTAACAGCCCTTCTAAAGAGGTCAAGGCAACATATTTACAGATTGTCATAAACTTGTAACAGCGATTTCACATTTAGCATAATACTTTAACTTTACATTTCCCAATGTAAATTAAGTCCTCTCGTTCAATAATTCAATGTTTGGAGTCTATGTTGATTATATGTCCCATTGTATTTGAAATAAAGGATTCCAGGGATAGTTATGTATGCTTCATATCATGACTTTAATCTAGAAATTGAAGGTGAGGTTCTGTTTAGAATTAACTATTATACAACAAATGAGATGTTTTCAATTTTCCCCATTATGAATTGTCCACTTGCAAGTAACAACATTCCATCTTTACTTGCATAATAATAATCTCTAAATTGATACAATATTCAAAGAGTGTGTGCTTCATATCAATATTTCCTTGATATAAAGTTGCTATAGAAGTAAATTGAAATCATCTATTATTAAGGTTTACTTACACCAACTTGATTATGGAATATTGGTGTCACAAATAACCAAGGATATATTTAATGTGTCAAAGCCACAATCTTGTCCTCTTTTCCTAGTTAGTGACTTCACTAGATTAGTACTTGCCATGAGCAATAAGACAAACGCCACTAATAGAGCAGGTACTGTTTACTCCTCCAGAGCATGAGTTCCTCTAGTTTGGTGAAGTTTGTGATGCACAAACTTGGGTTTCCTGTGTAGTGTGATGTGGACTTTTTTCTGTTTTGCTTTTTTCTTTTGACAACGGCAATGTCTATCTTTCTCAGACATAGAGTTCTGATTCCCCCTTTGTATTTTACTTCTTTTTTTGGTAATATGTTTAACCTGTTATGAAATATTCTTCTGAAGCTGACCTCAACCAAATCTTATAACATCAACCTTGTCAATATATTCAGCATTAAAATTATGTCAAGGTCAGGTAATGGCGGACTCTATGACACAAACACTGCATTTATAAAAGTTCTGTATGCATTGGGTGAAAGTGTGAAGAAGGAAAGGTATAAGTATGCAATAATTACAGTAAACACCAGAAAAGTAATACCTTTGATCACCCTGTTTTTTCTTTTTATGGGAGGCAAAACAAAAGCTATATTTTTTCAGATATTTTAATCTTGAAGTTTTCTGTTTTACTGTGGATTCATTCATTTTTTGAGGGTATCATTAATGTTGTGGATTGAGGAAAACATGCATTTTGTGGAATAGTGATTTCATGGTTTTGCCCAAGTCTGCATTCAAGCCTTGAGAAAATTTGTCCTTCATTGAATTCAATTTGATGTTTACCTATACCCAGGAAATCCACAACAAATGGTATCCTATGAATAATAATGAATTCACAGTATCTTAATTTGAGAAATAAGAGGCTCCCAAGAGCCTTAATTGTTCACCTGGTAAAAATATTATGCCATTTTGATATTTATTTTTACCTGTAATGCAATCAGTAATGTTTGCTTATTTGTAAATCTTATTAAGTGATATTTTTGTAGATTTTGTTTTGATGATCATGTTAACTGTTTACAGTTTATACCTATCTATCAAAGTTTTCGAGATAATTGGCAAAATTATATAAATTAGTAAAAAATCTTAATTTATGTACAATAAATCTATAAGGAATCTAACAATTTTGGTCATGTTGAATTATTTGTTGGTCTTATTTTGCTAATCATTTTTGCAATATACTTTTTCTCTCTATCTATTATAGTGTTGTCAGAAGTCGTAAAAATATGTCAAAAACATCTTTCAAGAGCAATAACTCATATAAGGGTCAACTGACGATTTTGAAAGTGTTCACTTATTTGTAGAACTCTTTATGCTAAAAAATTTTGATAAACATTGTTGCTCTATTTGAGGATCTTATTTTGTTGAACATTTTCTGTATTACGATATTGCTCTCTATCTATAAAGGTTTCTATCAAAAATCTATGCAATGGATAAAAACAGTCATTCAAAGGTAATAACTCCTATAAAGGGGTAAACTGACTATTATACCTGTAGATCCGATTTTGCTGAATATTTTTGCTGATTACAGTTTCTAGCTAATATTCTTTCTGTAGAAATGGTAAAAAAACATCTTTCAAAGGCAATAACTCCTATTAGGGGTCAATTGACGATTTTGGCCATGTTGATTGACGTGTAGATCTGATTTTGCTGAACATTTTTGCTATTTACAGTTTCTCTCTATTATGGTAAAAATCATCTTTAAGGTCAATTACTCCTACAAGGGTTCAATTGACAATTTTGCCATGTTGGCTAAATTGTGGATGTTATTTTGATGAACACTTTTTGCTTTTACAAATTGTATATACTATAATAAATGAAGAGGAATTGTAACCTACAAGTTCTCTGTATCTATTATAATATATACCTGCTAGAAATGCTAAAAATAAAGTTATTTTAAATCGTCTTTCAAGGCCAATGACTTCTATAATGGGTCAATTGATAATTTCATCCATGTTGACTTATTTGTAAATTGTATTGTTGCCATTTTTACTGTTTAAAATTTCTCTATATCTATTATAGTTTTTGAGATATTAGACAAAAACTTTGAAATTTGCAAAATATTGACAGATTGACCTTGACCTGCTGATTCTTTTACTCATGTCAGTTCTCCTCTTACTGATTAGGTTTTGAGATATATTTACCCCCATGTTTTATATTTAGTAACAGGGGCAAAGTTTGTTGATGGATCAAGCGCCTTGATATAATTTCTAAGCTAGATACACAAAGGAACATTCATAAAGTTTGATAACATTTGGCCCAGTAGTTTCGAAAGAGAAGATTTTTTTTAAAAGTTTGAAACAATCGACAATGGATGCCTAGTAATGGCAAAAGCTCACATGACCTTTTGTATTGAAGTTTCACTTTTCTGTACTATGGAAGAAAATATAATGCAAAAAAATTCAACAACAATTTACTATTCACCTTTTTTTTTTATTTCAAGGTACATGATTTTAGCAAAGGTCCTGCTTCAAATCATTTTATGGTCAACACAAAAGAATAACAGGACTATACAAGTAGTCTAATGAACACAATTGAAAGTTCATTTTCTAATCAAAAACCAATACAATCAAATTGTAAACTTTGGAAAATGCTACCTAGTACCAAAAATCAAATTTCGAGGGTTTTCACTGTAATTTTGCACTTTATACAAATTTCAATGACATTTTCAGGTATTTATGGTAGAGAAATGTCATTATCTAATCAAGTCTTAAAATGAAAATGAGTGTCAAAAAGTACAACCTCCGGCTAACCTGTCATAAGATATTCAACTTCCAATGGTATTTATAAAATAGGTGTATAATTTTATCAAAAGCACAACTTTATTTCTTACAAATGAATCACTAAACCTGATTGTCAGTCATGACTAGAACTGTTGGACGAATTTACTGAGGTTATACATAATCTAATTCATGTGTAGAACTGTTGGACGAATTTACTGAGCCAAACAATAATCTAATTCATACATAACTTCAACTGCCCTCATAGGTTTAAATTAAGAAGCAATTATTAATATCAAACACACAAATTTTTTTTTCTTTTAAGAACTTTTAACTTCAAGCTTTCTAGTTGAATAACTCAAAGTGTTTTAAAAATATTTTTTTATCAAAATTGAATTGCATTTCTCCCTGCTAGGTTTTAGCAAGTTAAAATGAACAACGACAACTTATTTAGTACAGACAAATAATCAGATCAGAATGATAAATTGACAATAAGATAATTTAAAAGGTTTCAGATGTATCATTACAATGAGAGATTCAAAAGTCAGTCAAGATCCTACACACATTTACAATCACAAGTAACATTGTTATATATCTAACATAAACGGCACCTGGCCCCTGAAATCTATCATGATGGAATGTATTAACAGATTAATAGATTAATCAATGACTTTATTTTTCTACAGCTGTAGCCGCAGTTTCTATAAATGTAGCTAGCTTTACATCTTTTTGTGACAATCCACCAACATCATGTGTGCTGAGAGTAATTTGTACCTGAAATATACAAGTTAATAAAGAAAGAAATCTATACATCTGAATTAAATAAATGAACTTGGAAAATAATAATTAGTTCTGTTAAATAACACGAATAAAATCAATTGAACTCAGAAAAAAATATAAGATAATACTAAACTTGTCTAAATCTTAGAAACCAATTAAGTTGACCCTTAAGAGAAAGTAACCCTATTAAAGGTAATAGAAAAAAAACGTAGTTTAATTTTCTCATTGTATTGTCAATCTTAAAATCCTGACATGACCTGAACTTAAAATGCATAATGAAAATTTGATAAAAAAACTTGTTTTTCACTTGTGTAAATCATTGGTTGTCAAACATCAAGATTACTGAAAAAACCTCATCAAAGATACCAGGCTTATAATTTTGTATGCATACATGTGCTTCGTCTACAAACGACTCATCAGTGTTGCTTGAATCAAAAAAATTAAAAGGCCCAATAAAGTACAAAGCTGAAGAGCATTGAGGACCCAAAATTCCAAAAGGTTTTGCCAACCACACCTTAGATTATCTATTCAGGGGATGGAAAGTCTTGGGGTAGAATAATATTTTGGGAAACTGAAAATTCTATTTAAACTTTACAGATAAAAATATTATTTTATCACCTTTTAAGAAAAACTGAATCTCTGGTTTTTTTACAACAGTATCACTACCAGTATACTAAAACTGTTGAGGTTATTAGATGGATGGATGTTCAACGTCCTGTGACAAATTTATGGAAGACTGATAAATTAACAAATGAGGTCATATTATCCACTCAACCAGTCCTTTTTCCAAATCAGTCTTAATTGTCACATCTATTTCCTTTTGGCTTTATGGATAGTTGTTTCATTGGTAATAAAACCACATCTCCACATTTTTATATGAATCTGCATTGCAGATGTCCTAGTTTTATTAATACATAGAACTGATAATCTTAAAACAGCAAGATTTAAAAAAAAATATGACCACTTACTTTGTTATAAACATTAAACCATTCTGGATGATGGTCCATCTTGTCTGCTAGTAAGGCTATTCTGGTCATAAAACCAAATGCCTGTAATAAAAGATAGTATTATAAAGGGAAGCAACTTTGTAACTAAATAAGCAATTTAAAGCTAATGCATTGTTTAGTTGCTGTATCATTGATGTATACCCCACATGCCCAAAGATTTGATTTTAAGCATGTTTAGATTTTAAAAAAATCCACTATCAATCATATTTGTTATTCTTCAACTGATAAATGAAGTGATATAATTTGAATTTAAATTTCTATTTTTCACAAAATTTGCACAGAATAGCACTTGTTGCTTACCTACCTGATTAAAATCTTTAAAGAGAAATTCTTTATAAATTGCATCTCTTCCTTCCACCATTGTCCATCCAGCTCCAGTCAGTGGACTTAAAACTGTTCCTCTCTCTACTTCAGTAAGTTTAGCTTTTTTTGCTTCTGATGCCTAAAATAAATATTAAAGTTATAAACATTGGTCAATTCAAAATATGGTGCTGGATTGGGCAAGACTTCCTCTTGAAACCCCTTCAATGTATGTCTATGCTTTATTCCATCAATAAAGGAAGTCATTCCTTGAATTGTTTCTTATATATGGTGGCTTTAGCATTTTGTTTTCTTACAGACCATGCAACATGTGCAAATGCACTGTGATAATCTAAGTCTAGAAACAAACTACATATATAATAAATTTCTGATATTAGTTATACATCAAACATTATGACTTGCAATGCAATGAACCTGAACAAGTGTTGATCATTCACAGATAAAATACAGATTGCAGTGGCGGATACAGAACTTTTCATAAGGGGGGGCCGATGACTGACCTAAGGGGGGGCTGCTCCAGTCATGCTTCAGTGATTCCCTATATAATCAACCAAATTTTTCCCACAAAATGTTTGAAATGACAAAATTAAATTCCCTGAAGAAATTTACTAAAATAACTTGATTTACCATCATTTAGGAGTAAAATTAAGTACATAAGTATAGGTAGTCCCAGTTTCTTCATTGATCTTTTATTTCTGCAAGATTCTGTAGTCTGCTTTAGTTTATCATGTTAATTCACTGCAGTTAATACACACTAAAAAATGTTAACAGTTTTTAACATGAAAACTGAGAAAGCTTTTAATCCTAATAGGATATAGATTTTTTGGAAGCTTAGGGTGTACTGTGTAATTCACAGAGAATAATTAATTCTAATCAAATAATTGAGAATTTTGTGCTTTTAGTCCGCTATACAATGTGGTGCACTGGACATACATGATAGAAATACTGTGTCTGTCAGTTCTTATAAGTGATATCACATGTTTAATTCTTAATTCTTGTCACATTTTTATGAAATTTATATAAAATATTTAATTCAGAAATATCTTGGACAAGTTTGAAAATCAGTGCATAACAACTATTTTTACAGGAGTTATGCCCCTTGGAAATATATATTATATGGAATATTGCATTGTAAGTACTCTAAAGCACATTTCTTGCAGGATTATTATGTTTATTATGTAATTAACACTGGATGTTACTAGACATATTTACACTTGTATGCAAATTTGTCCGCCATTACTTAAAATCACACAAGTTCCCGCAAAATTTGACATCACAATTTAAAATATCTGACGTCATAAATAAAAAGTGATTGCTGCTTGACGTCAGAAGGTTATTTGGAGACAGAGCTAAGGTCATTCAGAGACAAAATTCAGCTAAATACCAAAAGTGTAAATACCTTTATATCAGAAGCTAACCAATTATCATGATTACTAGTACAGAAGTTATGTCCCTTGGAAATGTAAATTCTATAGAAAATTGCATTGTAAGCACTGAAGTGTACAATTCTTAACAGATAGTCATGAACTTGAAATTACATGATGATTACAAACTTTGTATATGAAAATTGTTTGATATATACAAGCATGGGTAACATCAGAAGTCCATTACTAGAGGAAGTGTGCAACTGCTTTATAGTAAGGCGATCACGTTGTCCCCGTACTTCAAACTGTGATTCAAACGGGATTTGAGTGAGATTGCTATTAATAGTAACAAAAATCAATGGCCAAATTTTTTTGCGATGCATTCTGAGCAGAGATAATTTATGTATAACACACCGCGAATTAATTAACACACTGTCTCATAGAAAGATAGAACATGGATATGATAATTAAAAGCTGATGGTGATGTGTGTAATGGCTGATTCTAATGAATATGTATCTAAAAAAAGTTTTAAAAGAGCTACACATTGTAAATTTTGAGAATAAAAACTCTGTTTTAATTTTTCATGGAAATTCAACGTTGGACTTAAAATAGTTTCTAAAATTACTGATGTTTATGATCAACTGCGAGCAGAAAGAAACAGTTACGCAGCCTTCTTTTTTAAATATCATCAGTCATGTGCTAAATTGTTTGAATGGACGGATGGACAAACAGATGGAAAGATAAAGAACTATTTACCACTTCTTCATAGCTTGGGTATAAAACAATGTAGTATTCTCATGTTATTTTGCGTTCATATGTACAAAAAACATGAAGCGTAAGTTTGCATATATATGTGCAATTATAGTTTTGCATCAAGGGGTTTGATCATACAAATTTGTCAATGCATAATTTGCATGCGTGTCACATATTGCGTTCATATGCAAGTTTTACACCTATATATGTATGTCTACAGTCATGTGTTACAGTATCTAAGCATTGATGTGCAAATGGGTGCATGTAGGGCTTTAGACAGGAGATAAAGACCAGTATATAACATCCATTTAAAATAGAATTTGTAAGAAAGGATTTTAAGAAATTAATAATTTAAATCAAAATTACTGAAGTTTTTCTATGCAAGTTTTACGAGTATTCCATATATTTGTACTTGTATTTTCCAAATCTTTAATTTTTTATATCTCGAAAAGAAATAAAAGTTCTATATATCATTTTCTGAATGGACATACATGTACCATGTTAACCATAGTATTTCCACGTATAATTAGTCAAGCTTACATGTGCCGCATATGACCTTTTCGTGATAACCTTTTCTGCACTTGACTGACCTCTAAGGCCTCCATATACAGTATATAAAAGAAAGGGGGAGATACCAATTTTAAATTATTAAGTTTGCATGACAAGGTATATGTAATGTTCCAATTTACGTTAAGCAACAACAAAAACTGCAATTCAAATTCTTACATCTTGCTGTACAGATGTCACTGTGTATAATTGTATATGTATAACAAAGAAACTAACAAGTTCAGATTTCAATAATACGAAATATTTCTATTGGTATTTCCTATCATGGAAGTATTATATTGACGAATCTTCAAACAGTTGCTCAAGGTCAAAGAGATCCTACTGTTTGTTAATTACTAGAACAATAATTGCTGCTGTTTTCTAAGTACATTGATGCTCATTTTACAGGTACATGTTTATAACTAAAATCCTTTTTCATACCGAAGGTCAGTGGTTCTCTCTGGCCACTCCGGCTTCCTCCACCAATAAAACTGACCGCCACGAAATAGAACAATAGTGCTAGTGCTGAAAGTGACGTTAAACACCAATCAATCAATTAACTAAATCCTTGTTTATTATAGATGTTATCTTAATCTTGTGCATTAAAACTATAAAAATAAGTTGTATGTTGTAAAATTTTAATCTTGCTTAGTATATGAGGTTACAATTAACCATAATTTAATACTATGTATGACGATACTTGATATTTTATTTCTGATTATAAAACAATCAAATATAAATAATCATAGATAGTTATTTCAATCTTTGCTCTTATCCACTCTTACATGTGATATAAAAACAGAATTATTGTCCAATACTGCAACAGAAGCTGTATGTTATAACTTCAAATTTTACTCTATTTGTCTTGGTTGATGTTGTCTTTGCAGCCACTTTACATTCAGTTGCTGTAGTCTTCAGTTTTGGTAAAGAATCTAAATAAGTATTGCACTGTGTACTCCTAGATATAAAAACCCATGGAATTAAACCTATGCCATTAGCCTATGGTGTACTTGAATCTTTCTTGGTTTTATTCATTTTCACATACTGATAAAAACTGAAGGAGATTAATTAGCAGTTATCTGTTTTATAGTCCAAATAATTATGACATCTTGCAAGGCTACGTTAATAAGGCGTCACAGAAAAAAATTAAAATAGCCTTGCAAGACCGGTACCTCGAATCACCGAATAACACCGTTATTAGCCAAATAACATGAATAACACTTGTAAACACCGAATAACACTTGAAATTTTAATATTAGCACATATTGGTGACATTTAAACATTGATTATTTAACAATATTGTATTATTAGTGTATTTTATAACTTAAAAATGATTTATAGAAAGCAGGTAAGTTCTTAAAGATCGCATTAATTATTAGTGTGTACATCCAACATGGCGACCAAGGAAAACACAATGGGAAGAATAAAAGAATGATTGCATAAGCATACAAAGGGAAAAGCTATGAAAATAAAATATTAAATAATGTACTGTATATACAGAGTATTGTCCAATAATTGTTTTTCAGTAAGGTTTCGAAAAGTTAACAAGTAAAATCAAAGCCATGCAATTACTCCAATCACCAATTAGTTTTCTTAACGATTTACTCAATATTGAATGAAACATAATTAAGAATTTTCACATATTTAATTTAAATTTAATCAAAAAATTAATTATACTTGATTGTTTTATAATAAAAACAAAGCAGCTGAATGGATGATTCGTATGTGTGTATTTTCTCAAAAAGAAATTAAAGATTTTCATTGGCAAATATTAATGTTTTTACAAGTAACTAAAATTTGGTATATAAACATGTGAAGACATATGTGCTGTCTTCCATTTTTAAAATGGCTTTATATCCTTGTGTTCAATGTGATGAAGAATGTGTTGATTGCACAATTCAGTGCAGTAGTTGTGATCGTTGGGTTCACAGTGCTTGTGTCCCAATGAATGATTCAATGTTATCGGCCTGGTCAGATATCTTAGTAGTTTTCATTTTTTACAATAAATTCTAAATAAATTGTTATCGCGGACTACGATAGATAAGCCCGTGCCTTGTGCAGGATATCTTAGTAGTTTTAATTTTTCACAATAAAATTCTAAATAAATTGTTTTCGCGGACTATGACAGATAAGCCCGTGCCTTGTGCTGGATATCTTAGTAGTTTTAATTTTTCACAATAAAATTCTAAATAAAATGTTTTCGCGGACTATGACAGATAAGCCCGTGCCTTGTGCAGGATATCTTAGTAGTTTTAATTTTTTACAATAATTTCTTAATAAATTGTTTTCGCGGACTATAACAGATAAGCCCGTGCCTTGTGCAGGATATCTGATTAGTTTTAAAAGGGCTTGGTTACTCTCCATTTTTAAATTAAAAAATATAATATTATTTTTTTAATAACTATAAAAACAAAAATTATTATTGTAAACAGTTAAATATTCCATATTTTTTAAAAAGGGGAGGCGCCCACCCTCACATTGTTCATTGCCTTGACGTGGCGTGAGGGCTCCACTTTGGTGGTCTAAAATGAACACGTTGAGGGATTGTATGCAATCATTCTTTTATTCTTACCATTGTGTTTTCCTTGGTCGCCATGTTGGATGTACACACTAATATTTAATGCGATCTTTAAGAACTTACCTGCTTTCTATAAATCATTTTTAAGTTATAAAATACACTTATAATATAATATTATTTAATTATCAATGTTTAAATGTCACCAATATGTGCTAATATTAAAATTTCAAGTGTTATTCGGTGATTACAAGTGTTATTTGGCTAATAACGGTGTTATTTGGTGATTCGTGTTACCCTTGCAAGACGTCATAATTATTTGAACTACTGTTTTATGATGATATTTTTATCCATGATTCCATAATTATAAAACGAGATTTGGGAGGACCACCTATGGCGCTTCCCACTAATGGGGACATCGTGATCGCCTTACTACATGTAAATAGAACAGCTTGCACACTTCACCTTGTAATGGACTTCTGGTAACATGAAAATGATGAACAATGAATAAGACTTATACATCATGTACGGTTTTATAATTTAGTCCCAATATGCCTATGACATTTATTATACCCCTCTTTAGGTAACCCATCATAGGTGAAAATGTAGGGTAATTCGGACTTTTTTTAAATTATCAACGAAACTATTATTTCCGACCGTAAAAATCGGTACTCGATGATAGCTTACAAAACAGAAATTCCATCTACAATCGGTTAATCATCTGTTCATGTTACTATGAAAATATATTGTTCACGTCTTTGCACAGCTGTCACTTACCATTTTAGCAAAAAATCGTTGACAAGGGCTTTTATTAGGAAATAATACAGGTTTCAATATTTTCAACATTAAAATAAATTAACGAGCCTTCACACAAAAGAGGTACATTTGGTACAACTTGAATCCGGGTCCGTTCGCGCCCATTCACGTTCGCCCCCTTTCACGTTCGCACCCCGGGTCCGTTCGCACCCTACACGTTCGCACCCTTTTTATTGATTTTGTCTTAAATAATTTTTCAATCGTATTTTGGTTAGTGTATTGCTATCAATATTTTTTTTGTTCATTGTTTTAAAATGAAGTGACTTTCTAAAAACGATTTTTGTGTTGAATAATTTTTTAATCGTGTTTTGGTTATTGTATTGCTATAAATAAGTTTTTTTTCATTGTTTCAAAACATGCAAAATAAAGTGACGTTTTTTGTGTTGAATATCTTTTTAATCGTGTTTTGGTAAGTGTATTGCTGTATTTTTTTTTTTCAATGTTTCAAAATAAAGTGACTTTCTAAAAAAGGTTTTTTGTGTTGAATATTATTTAAATGTTAAGATACCAAACCGCTTTAAACTCAACAACAATAACATTTTGAATCTTAATTGTTTTTACTCATACCAAGTTAAATACATGCTAATATAACTACATGCAGAATTTACATCAAGGTTAGCTGTGTAAACACCATATATAATTAACAGTAATCATAAATAATTAATCATCAAATCAATTTAAAACAATATTTCATTTAAAAAATTCAAAAATTGCCGAATTTTTCTTTATTTTGAGATAAATATCTTAAAAAACATCTTATAATTCATCGGGTTTTTGAATAAAAAAAAAGGGTGCGAACGGACCCAGGGGGCGAACGTGTGGGGTGCGAACGAGTAGGGTGCGAACGTGTATTGGGCGCGAACGGACCCGATACCGTACAACTTAACACCAGTTTTACCTTACACAAAACACGAAATATAACGTACCTTCACCAGTATGAAAGTTACGGAAGGCATAGAGGGACACATAGAAAATATTTTTTTAAATCCGTGATCTCGGTTTTCCAATCCATGTCTCGGGTTCGTAGTCTGTAATCTCGGATTCATAGTCTGTGACCTCGGATCAATAAAGGGACACATAGAAAATAAAATCAATCCGCTCGGTTATCTCGATTTCACAATCCGTCATCTCGGTTTCAGAATCAGGTCATCTCGGTTTCAGAATCAGGTCATCTCGGTTTCAGAATCCGTCATCTCGGATTAATAATCCGTTAACTCGGTTACCAAATCCGTGATCTCGGAAAAATAATCAATCCGAGATAACGGATTTGGAAATCGAGATAACGGATTAGACCGAAATCGAGATCACGGATTGGGAAATCGAGACAACCCGGCGGATTGATTTTATTTTTCTATGTGTCCCTTTATGGCTTCCGTACAAAATTGATTTTTTTCTTGAATTAATTTCCAGATGAACCGAGACTACTATGATAAGTTAAAATATAGATTCTGGTCTCATAATTATTAATGCATTTATACATAACTTAACAAGTTTGTATACCTTTACAAAATGCACTGGATGTTTCACTCAATATTGTACTAAAACAATTCAAAATATTCAAAATATAACCATTATATAATACGATTAAAAGACTCTCATGTTGCCAATAATTTCTTATGATCGACGCATTAAACCCAGTTTAGAGGACCTTTTTCTTAAACCATAGTGATTAATTTGCTCAAACTGTGTAATAAGTAGTCAGTACTTTTGAGTTGACATGAAATATAACGATTGATTTTTTTATTTTCCGTAAAAATTTTGTTTTGAATTATTCGAAATACTATAATTTTCTATTCCCAGGAAAAGATTGCCTTAGCCAAATTTGGCACAAACTTTCGGATTTTCGGTTGCCAACTCTTCTAGTTCGTATTTGATCAGTTGGCCTTCCAACTGTTTTGATTCGAGCGCCACTGATGGTGGGTTATATGAAGCGCGTCATGCATATCAAATTACAAGCCTGATATGTGTTTTTTTTTTTTAAATCAAAGCAACAGATCTTTATATAATTAACACAAATTTACTTTCGAAATCACGATAGTACTTATATCATAAAACATTTGATTAGGCTGATGATATGGAATCAGACAGCACCATAGTTCAAATAATAATCATTTCTAAGAATTACCAAGGTAGATATTTATGTAATTGCATAAAATTAACCCTAAAGACAAGTAGACCAAAAATTAAAAGATTACACAATTATATACATGTATAGGGTACGGGTGGATGTGTTATTTATCGAAATTGTTGATCGGCGCTTCAACTCGAAATAAAAAAAAATGACATAAAAAGATTTTTTTAATGTATCCCGACGCACTCAGTCTCGCTTGTTTTTTAGTTCTTGCGATTTCCTCCGTTTTTTGATTTTTACCTTGATTCGTATCTTTTCTTTTATTGATTTGTGAGATTTGAACATCGTTAAACTACTGTAGCCTCTAATTTCGTCTGATATTATTTTGTGTTTTTCCATTTCTGTACGGTCTGTACCGTCGGGGAACATGCAGAGATATATGTGGTCTCTCTCTGTTATGCGTTATTGCGATTGATTTTTTGACCATATTTCTTTATTTGTCTTCCATTAAGGTTATCAGGAAGATCAAACAAGAAACGTACATGTTTTTGATATTTTGGGTGATGAGACGCCAGAAGTATAATTTTTGTCTTGCCTGCGACACATAGGGATAGAGATCTGGCGGCGGTGTTTACTAATTATGTAATATTTCAGAAGGTAGAAGACCTGGATGTTTTATACTTTGTATATAGATGCCTTATGTTATGAAACCGCCTCGGCAGTCTAGTGGTAGCGTGTCAGTCGTCTCGGGTGCGGAAGGGCGTAGGTTCGAACCCCGGCCGGGTCAAACCAAAGACTTTAAAGTTGGTTTTTGCTGTTTCTCCGCTAAGCACGCGGCATTAAGGAGTAAGAGCAAAGACTGGTCGGCTCGGAGTCAAAATAATATGCCCGGATAGGTGACATGTCTTCCTGTGAACTGTGAACTTTTGAACTAGCACGTTAAAAAATCTCAGCGTGTCGATCTAGTACAAAGCAGGATAAATATCCATATTATATAAACATGTTCTCTCCTGAATATGCATATTAATTAGCCGCTGGACGTTAAGCAGCCATTCATCATCATCATCCTTATGTTATGAAGTTTCCGTCTGTCATATGTCCATTGTCCTTAACATCAGTTTCATTTCCCAACTTATTCGGTATTCAAAAGCTTCCAGCTGCTACTCAGACTTTGTAAAACGTCACCACTGTCTGAGCAGAAATTTGATGAACCAGGGGTATGTCAAACAACGTCTCGTCCTTTTTCTAAAAAAGTTCATCGGAAGGTACCAAGACCTTGTTGATAAATATTTCGTATCAACTTCACAAATAATACACGATGGTCTTGAAGTATAGATTCTGGGTACTGACGTTGTTTATCATCTTAATAACGTGTTATAGTATTCTTTTATTTGTCTTTTTGAATATTACTTTTACTGTTTAGTCTATTTTTGGTGTTATTCATTTGACGTGGCTCGGTACTTATACATCCCATCATTGTGTTATTGTTCTATGGTAAATTTTTGTATTCTTGTCTTTCATTTTTGCTTATGTGCTTTGTCTATATGCCTATTTATGCTTATTTGTTAAATATTTGTTTGTTTTTATAGTGATTAAGATTATAACACAATGTTGACTGTTGTACCCCTATTTTGACATTTTTACCTATTATGTCTGTTTGTTTTGTTCACACATCATTGTCAATATAATGGAATTTTATGCGACTGTCATACAAGTGAGAGGTTTAGCTAGCTATAAAACCAGGTTTAATCCACCATTTTCTACAATAGAAAATGCCTGTAAAAAGTCAGGAATATGACAGTTGTTATCCATTCGTTTGATGTGAGGGACTTTCAGTTTTGAATTTTCATCGGAGTTCGGTATTTTTGTGATTTTACTTTTTCATGGATCAGTGACTACGTAAAGTTAAGATTTTTTGTAATGTTAATTTCTCTCTTATTACTAGTAATATGATAACTATATTTGGTATTTGCTTACCGTGCAAGGTCTTTATGCCTTTCAGACAGGTTTCACTTGACCTCGACCTCATTTTATGGATCAGTGAACAAGGTTAAGTTTCATGGTCAAGGTCATATCTCAGATACTATAAGTAATATGTCTACTATATTTGGTGTATGTTATGATTGTAAGGTGTACATGTCCAGCTGGCAGGTGTCATCCGACCTTGACCTCATTTTCATGGTTCATTGTACAATGTTTAGTTTTTGGGATTTGTTCTATTTCTCAGATATTATAAGCAATGATGTTTTTCCCCCAATTTTGCATTTGTGATTACATTTGGTGTATGGAATGGTTGTAGGGTGTACATGTCTGTCTGGTAGGGTTCACATGACCTTGATCTCATTTTAATAGAACATTGATAATGTTAAGTTTAATGTGATACTTTTAGTTTAACCTTCATATTACAGACTTTCAACAAGAAATCAATGATAAGTACATTTCAACGTGTGCACTCTTGTTGAATTTATCGATTGTGTCTTATTTTCGAATATGACATTTTAACTGTGCAGTTTTTATGTCTGTCGACACACTTTGTCTCCATCTGTATATAGTTGATGCGATTCCCTCGTTTTTTTTTCTCTCCCTGGTGTTTTATTCATTCAAATTGGATTGACTGACGTTAGTATTTTACTTTCACATTTGCAAGATAATTTTTGACGTCCTTATTTCCCATAGTTTATTAAGTATTACTAATATTGATTTCATGATTATGTAATTTGATTTCATTTAAGGTTGCATGGGGTTATAAAAAAGCAGTATTCATACTTTGCCAAAATCTGGGAACAGTATATCTATATCAATATATATATTCCTGCCAAAATGTAGTTTCCATCGAGATATTTATAAAAACTTTCAAGCAGACTGTGCAAAATTGATATTGTTTTCGAAGACTATACATGCACGGAATGAGACTAGCATCATTATCATGTGAATAGAAAGAGAATGCTACCAATGGTTATATGTAACAAAATTCTGATAACATTTGAAATAAGATCTGACAAGC